AGGATGGCTGCGGATAAAGAGTTGCGGCGAAGACAGGACTTACTGTGCGGGGGACGCGGAACCAAGATGGCGGCAGAAAGAGAGCGAGCGAGAGCGTGACCCACGCCTGTTGCAGAAGGAAGCTTGGCAGAGGGGGCGGGACCAGGATCCGATTCCGGGTCAGGAGCTGCCAGCAGTCACTTCCTTTGAGTGATCCGTCCTACTGTTCCCGGACTGGGGTGGTGATGAGGTCTAAATAAGGGTAAGAATTCGGAACAGGACGCGCTGGATTGGCAGGAACCTCAACCTCGAGCCGTGCACTCCTTAGATAGCCGACTCCTTCCCGTCCCCTGAGTTGAGGCATTTTTGATACCCGAAAGGAAAGTGTAGTCAGAGAAGCAACCTCTGCTCTCTGGTCAGTAAAGTAGCCACAGCGGTATTATAGTGACTTTTTGATTTCCCTTTTTCAACTAATGCAGGGAAATAGGAGATACTAAATAATATGGAACGCCACAGATTGTAGTCACATCATTGTAAGATAGCAGTGACTGAGGTTAACCCTCAATTATTTTATTTTTGGAACACACAATTTAGATCGATGTTGAAACTATTAGATTACACTCCTCAGAGAAAAGCGCATAGGCATATATACAATTCTTTTTGCCTGCTGTTTTGGGCAAATAGATATCCCGAAACTCATCCATGCTAGTAGTCCTGGACCCCAAGTTAATTACTCTTGCTTTACACTGTAAATATTCCTGAGAGTAGAATGTAAATTCAGTGGTTTGTTCATGAAAAGGCCATGGGTCCTGATCCCCTTGCCCTCTCAGCCCTACAAAAAGACTCAACAAATACATTACCTAAACCAGCAAAACTATTTGAACTAAAGGCTTTAGGACAATTGTGGCTGCCTTTTAAGAGAAGCAGTGACGTTATGCTCTAAAAACTATTTTGAAGTGAGGATTAGTGAATTAGGATTAAATGAAATAGTGGAGCTTACCAGGAATGAGAAATTCTGAAATTTTTTTCAGATAGGGGAGGCAATATTGTGGAATGATTAAGAACATGAATTCTGTAAGGGTGCCTGGCTTGCTCAGTTGGAAGTGCATGCAACTCTTGATCTCAGGTTCATGAGTTCAAGCCCTATGCTGGGTGTAGAGATCAATTAAATAAACTTAAAACACACACACATACACAGAACATGGACTCTAGCTATACTTGTCTGAATCACAGCTTTGTCACCTCATAGTGACCTTGGGCAATTTAATTAACCAGTTTGTGCCTCAGTTTCCCCATCTAAAAAGGGGGATATAGTAGCTACTTGATAGGATTGTTAGGAAGATTAGGTAATATATGTACATTACTTGGAAAGTGCTTACTATTATTTTTTCTAAGTAAATGTGCGATCTGGAAGATTTGTCAGCGCAGTCCATTTAACTTCAGAAGAAGGAGCCAGCAATAGCCAATCATCTTCATAGACAAGTAAAGCTATTTTGACCATTTCACTTTCTTTTCCATCAAGCCCACTAACTCTTCTCTCTGCTGTTAATGACTAAGGAAGGATGTATTTTCTTTCTTTGGATTTTTTTATAAATTGGGCAAGTCTGGAGACGGAAGTCAGTTCTGTGACCTTTGTTTCTACAATTCTCACAAATGGATGAGTTGCTAAAATCAGAGAATAGGGAAGTCAATGGTCTTTGAGCATGTTTCTGCTGTCTTCAAGAATCAAATATTTATTTTGAAAAAAAAAAAAAAAAGACTTGATTTTTTTTAAAATTAAGTTTTTATTTAAATTCCAGTTAGCATACAGTGTAAAAACATTTATTTATTTATTTATATTTTTAAAAGATTTTATTTATTTATTTGACAGAGAAGAGAAGCAGGCTCCCTGCTGAGCAGAGAGCCTGATGTGGGGCTCGATCCCAGGACCCCGGGGTCATGACCTGAGCCGAAGGCAGAGGCTTTAACCCACTGAGCCACCCAGGCGCCCCTATTTATTTATTTTTTTTAAATATTTTATTTATTTTAGAGAGAGAGAGAGAGACAGCGAGAGAGGGAACACGAGCAGGCGTAGTGGGAGAGGGAGAAGCAGGCTTCCTGCTGAGCAAGGAGCCCGACTTGGAGCTCAATCCCAGAACCCTGGGATCATGACCAGAGCTGAAGGCAGACACTCAATGACTGAGCCACCCAGATGCCCCAAAACATTTATACTTTTATATGAGTACAATATGTAACGCTTTATCCAAGAGCTTTAATATTAAAGCATTAAAATACTTTAATGGTAGGCATATTGGAAGCTTGAAACATCTCTTTTTGAAAGCATAATACCAGTCTTTATACTCTGGTTCTGAGTTCTTAAGGTAGACTGAGTCTTTAGTAATTTTGTATTCAGGAATTTTAACTGACCCACTGTTTTCCAAACCTAAAAACTGAACAATACATAGTAAATAGAGACTCAAATGAGGAATTTTGCACAATGGTCTTTAATATTTTTTCTTAAAAAATTAGAAAAGAGAAGGAAATGCAAGGCATTGCCGTGTGTTGACTGTATTGTAAAGTGTTTTATATATAAAACCAAAAGATTAAAAAAAAAAGAAAAGACTGTATGGCTAAAGAGAAAACAATGTTAAAGGAAACGCAAAGGAAAGAAAATAAAATCATAGAAAACACCAACCTGATAGCTTGACTTCTCAGTGTTTCTCAGAAGATGGACTATATTCCAGAATGACTGTTTTCTTTAGACTGGTTGTAAAACCAGGCAAAAGAAATCTGACACTTTCAGAAAAAACAAAAACAAAAACCAACCTATGGAAGAAACAAAACCTTTAAAATTAAGTATCTGGATATGTAGAAAGGGAAGTGTTTTGACAAATAAAATAGGTTTTCTGTTGGTGAAATTGGTTATTCTAAGCTGCTGCTTTATGGTGCAGACTAACCCAATTGTTCTCTGAGGAAAAAAGTCAGGAGCTACAAATGCAACAGTTTTTAAAAAGTACTCTACTGGGGCACCTGGGTGGCTCAGTGGGTTAAAGCCTCTGCCTTCAGCTCAGGTCATGATCCCAGGGTCCTGGGATACAGCCCCACAGCAGGCTCTCTGCTCCGCAGAGAGCCTGCTTCCCCCTCTCTCTCTGCCTGCCTCTTTGCCTACTTGTGATCTCTGTCTGTCAAATAAATAAATAAAATCTTAAAAAAAAAAAAAAGTTAAAACACCATTAAAAAAAAAAGTACTCTACTATCCTCTATTGTAATCTAGTAACTCATATGTTTGAATTGAAGTTTGGTATGTTTAGATGCCCAGTTTAAAATGATTTTTAAGGGGTGCCTGGGTGGGTGGCTCAGTGGGTTAAGCCTCTGCCTCGGCTCAGGTCATGCATGATCCCAGGGTCCTGGGATCGAGCATCGCATTGGGCTCTCTGCTAAGCAGGGAGCCTGTTTCCCACCCTCCCTCCCCCTGCCTTTCTCTCTGCCTGGTTGTGATCTCTCTCTCTCTGTTAAATGAATAAATAAAATATTAAAAAAAATGATTTTTAAGGGGTGCTTGGGTGGCTCAGTGGGTTAAAGCCTCTGCCTTCAGCTCAGGTCATGATCCCAGGGTCTTGGGATTGAGCCCCACATTGGGCTCTCTGCTCAGTGGGGAGCCTTTTTCCTTCCCCCCACCCCTCCAGCCCCCCTGCCTCTTTGCCTACTTGTGAACTCTGTAAAAAAAGAAAAAAAAACTTAAAAAAAAAAAAAAAACATTTTTAAAAGACAGGCAGTGGGGTGTAACCTGACCAATAACAATATCAGTAAGTAAAATTAGAAGTGACAGAATACACACTCCAGGTATAAATGTCTAAGACTTAAGGACAAAGCTCTCATGTACCTACAATATTCAGTCCAGAAATAAGAAGGCTATATCCAGTGAGCTGAGATTAAAGTTTTGAGCATATTATTGCTCACTTGCCTCTACATATGGCAATTGGTAGAAGTATACCAAAATATATATGGCAACTGGTAAAAGGTATATCAAAAAATCTTAAATTATCTTTGTATAATTAGTTTTTTAAATTTTTTCATTATTTTTAATTTTTTCAAAAAGATTTTATTTATTTATTTGACAGAGAGAGAGAGAGATCACAAGTAGGCAGAGAGGTAGGCAGAGAAAGAGGGGGAAGAAGCAGGCTCCCTGCTGGGCAGAGAGCCCAATGTGGGGCTCAATCCTAGGACCCTGAGATCATGACCTGAGCTGAAGGCAGAGGCTTAACCCACTGAGCCACCCAGGCGCCCCTACTAGTTTTTTTTTGTTTTTTTTTTAAGATTTTACTTATTTTTGACAGCACCCACAAGTAGGGGAGCAGCAGGCAGAGAGCGAGAAACAGGCTTTCCACTGAGCAGGGAACCCAGGACCCTGGGATTATGACCTGAACTGATGGCAGCTGCTTAACTGACTGAGCCACCCAGGAGCCCATATAATATTAACTTTTACAAAATATATCTGCAATTCACTTATTCCTTCCATTATTGTTGCTTCCAGAAACCTGGACGTTCTCCTTTGGTGGCCTCAGGAATCTTTTCAACATAATTTTCAAGAAAAGGAAATTTTGGGGGCGCCTGGGTAGCTCAGTCTGTTGAGCGTCAGCCTTTGGCTCAGGTCATGATCCCAGAGTCCTGGGATTGAGCCCCTCATGGGGCTTCCTGCTCAGTGAGGAGCCTGCTTCTCCCTCTCCCTCTGCCTGCTGCTCTGGCTACTTGTGCTCTCTCTGTCAAGTAAAAAAAAAGAAAGAAAAGGAAAGGAAAGGAAATTTTGCTTTGAGCATTAAGACACATTATGGTTCTGTAATATTTATTGAATGGCTCTTGATGTATTTGGTTTTTTAAAGATTTTATTTTTATTTATTTATTTGAAAGAGAGAGAGAGAGAGAGAGAGAGAGAGAGAGAGCATGACTTGGGGGGAGGGGCAGAGGGAGAGGGAAATGCAGACTCCCTACTGAGCAGGGAGCCTGACCTGGGACTTGATCTCAGGACCCTGGGATCATGACCCTAGCCAAACGCAGACACCCAGCCGACTAAGCTACCCAGGTGCCTGAAGTATTTGATTCTTGAAGCTAGAAGATATCTACATTGGTTTGAGGAGAGTTGTTATCTTCAGAAGTCTTTCTGTAAATCTGGAATAGAATAGATTGTTATCAAAGGGATAATAAAGGAAGACAAGACAAATCCCATTTATTTTCACATTCTGATTTGCTTAATGCTTCTATTAAATTCACATCATGCATAAAGATTTGCTTTCACTTTTGCTGAAGCCCACATTATAGGGTTGAGCTAGTACAGAACAAGAGTACAAAGGACTTAATATAGCCAGTTGGAATGGCAGGTTCATTGAGGCTTTCCAAGTTCAGAGTCATCATTATTCATTCAATAAGCAAATATTTAAGTATCTGCTATGAGTTCAGCATTATCTTGGGCACTACTGTTTAACTATCATGCGTATTATTAAAAAATAAAGTGGAAAGGAAGTTGTATTTCTATAACACTACTACAGTTTTCTATGGTATTGATCCATCTCCTGAATAATATTCACTGCTGATTTCTTTCATTTTGGCTTACACATATGTTTGGGTCTCTCTTATTCAAAGACACTGCTGTCCTCTAAGTATCTCCCTTTAGTCCCAATATGCAACATGATTTTATCAGTTCTCTACTGCATTTGACACTTGATAATCTCCTTGAACATTTCCTTTCCCCGGCTTCTGTGACACTTTTAATTTCCTTTTTCATCTCTCCACTTCCAAATCATTACCAACTCTCAAGGATGGCTCTAGTATTTGCTCCTGTTGGAGATATCCAGTACCAGTGTCCTAATGGTAATAGGCCAACTGGCCTCTTGGTCTATTTTATCCCTAACCTCTCCCCAGACACATTGTTGCTAGTTTGATTTTGCTAGATAAAACTTTAAATCATGGTACTCCATTCCTCAAAAACCTTTACTAGATTACCTGTCCCTACTGAATTAAGCCCAGGCTCTCAAGACTGGACTTCAAAGGCCACCTATACCCTGGATTCAGTCTGCTTCTTCAGATTTCTATCCCATCAATTCCTGCCGCATCTTTTTTTTTTATAATTTTTATATATTTTTATTAACATATAATGTATTATTAGCCCTAGGGGTACAGATCTGTGAATCGCCAGGTTTACAACCTCACAGCACTCACCATAGCACATACCCTCCACTATGTCCATAACCCTACCACCCTCTCCCTACCCTCTCCTCCCAGGCAATCCTCAGTTTGTTTTGTGAGATTGAGTCTCTTACGGTTTGTCTCCCTCCTGATCCCATCCTGTTTCGTTTATTCTTTTCCTACCCCCACACCCCTCATGTTGCATCTCCACTTCCTCATAACAGGGAGATCATATGATAGTTGTCTTTCTCTGATTGACTTATTTTGCTAAGCATAATACCCTCTAGTTCCATCCACGCCTGACACATCTTTTTCCATATTAGCTGTATTACTTGATGGCCTCTGGAGTGACCTGATGCTTTCCTATCTAATGCCTTTGCCATTGCTTCAAGAATGAAGAACCTATCCCCTTTTCCCATTCCTGTATCCTTATCAAATCTCTGCTTAACGAAATCTTATGCATACCTCAAGGCATGGCATATTGGCGTTGGGAATTAGAATCTGTATAGCCCCTCAGTGTAAAGAGTTCAAATACCATTCTTTTCATACGAAATCTTCTCAGGTTCTCTCAGTCAGATGAGATCTCTTTCTTAGCATTTTATACTTCTTTGTTTTGTATCAGTAGTACTTCCTAAGGGCAGGGGGGCATGGTGTGGAATTCATCTTTGTATAATTAATCTTTGTTTCCCTCATAGTACCTGATACACAGAAGGTGTCTAATGAGTATCTGCTGAATAGAATTAAGGTAGCTCAATTTTTAAAACACTAAGGATAGTAAGCTAAATCAGTAACTTGTTTTAGGAGGGCAAAAGCTAGAGCTCTAAAATTTCTCATGTACTAGATGATTAAACTTCCTACATTAAGATCTAAATAGCTAAAAAGGAAAGGTATAGAGTCTTACCACTCTTCTTGAGAAGTTCTCCTTTTCGGGATTTATCCAGGTTTTCAAGAAATTGTTCAAAAACTTTTATATAAGGAGCTAGACTGGTCTTCTTATAATCTAAATTATGAAGGCCATGCATTATAATTAGCATTTTGGAAGCAGAATAACATCAGAGTATAACTTTAAGTTTTTAAAAAAAAATTCTCTAGAACAACAATAAGAAAAAGAATTCTCTAGAACAGTACTGTCCAATATAATGAGAAATATGTAGTTTAAATACTCTACTAGTGGGGTGCCTGTGTGGCTTAGTTGGTTAAGCATCTGCCCTCCACTCAGGTCATGATCCCAAAGTCCTGGGATGGAGCCCCACATTGGACTCCCCACTGTGCAGGAAGCCTGCTTTTTCTTCTCCCTCTGCCTGCCACTCCCTCTGCTTGTGTGCTCTCTCTCTCTCTGTCAAATAAATAAATAAAAATCTTAAAATAAATAAATACTCTAGTAGCTACATTAAAAAGGTAAGACTAATTTTAATATTTTATTTAATTCAGTGTATCTAAAATATTAATACATAATAAAAATTGAAATATTTTATTCTCTTTCATACTGTTTGAAATCTAGCATTTTGTACTTAAAATACATCTCAATTTAGATGATACATTATCATGAGAAATACTTGATCTATATTTAGATTTGAATTATAGACAGTGTAAAAGTAGGCTCACATATCCAAATTTCCTAAACATACTTCAATGTTTTCTAATAATTGAATCAAATATCAGTTTTAAAATTTATCTATTGGGGCGCCTGGGTGGCTCAGTGGGTTGAGCCTCTGCCTTTGGCTTGGGTCATGATCTCAGGGTCCTGGAATCGAGTCCTACATCGGACTCTCTGCTCAGCAGGGAGCCTGCTTCCCCTCTCTCTGCTCACTTGTGATCTCTCTCTCTCTCTCTCTCTGTCAAATAAAAAATCTTAAAAAAAACCCCCAAACATTAAAAAATTATTTATTTAAAAATATTTTAAAAATGTTTAAAAATATTTATTTATTTTAGAGAGACATCCCTTAAGATTTTATTTTTAAGTAATTGCTATACCCAACATGGGACTTGAGCTCATAACCCTGAGGTCAAGAGTTGCATGTTCTACCGACTGAGCCAGGCACCCCAATCAGTTTTAAAATTTAAATTAATTAAAATTAAATTTAAAAAGTCAGTTCCTTGTTTATACTAGCCACATTCCAAGTGCTTAACAGCCATATGTGGCTGCTGTATTAAGACAGTGTTGCCTGAAAATATCCAAACCACATGTACATATCTACTTCAGTAGTCAGGCTTTCTGGTATTAGACCAGCATAATCTATTGCTCTATGTTAAATCCCATACAATATTCTTTTTTTTTCTTTTTACAAATTGTGGCTTCATTAATAAATAGTTTTACCAACAGAGCAAACATTAAAAATGTCAGGGGCATTCTACCTGGAGACAACCAGAAGTTTATAGTCATAGTGCCTTAAGTATAGGTATTTTTTTATTTATATAAAATTTTAAAAAATGTATACAGCAAAAAAATTTTTAATCTTTCCCCCCAAGATTTTATTTATTTATTTATTTGAGAGCGAAAGAGAGAGAGAGCACAAGCAGGGGGAGAGGCAGAGGGAGGAACAGACTCCCCACTGAGCAGGGAGCCTGATACAGGGCTTAATCCCAGGACCCTGAGATCATGACTTGAGCCCAAGGCAGACGCTTAATGACTGAGCCACCCAGGCACCCCCACAACAAAATTTTGAATACAGAATCTTAATCGTCTATTTAATTACACAATCTATAATACCCAATAGGGGAGAAAATCTGAGAACAAGATGAGATTTGGATTTCAGTAGTGTGCTGTATCTGGATGGAATAGTCCTCATAATAGTTCATTCAAAAGAGTAAAAAAAGAAACTATACTTAAAAAAATTTTTAAGGGGCATCGGGGTGGCTTAGTCAGTTTAGTGTCTGCTTTTGGCTCAGGTCATGATCCTGAGATCCTAGGATGGAGCCCTGTGTCATGTTGGGCTCCCTGCTCAGTGGGAAGTCTGCTTCTCCTTCTCCCTCTGCCATTCCCCCCCCTGTTTATGTTCTCTCTCTCTCTCAAATAAATAAATAAAATCTCTCTCTCAAATAAAAAAAAAAAATCTCTCTCTCTCAAATAAAATCTTTAATAAACATTATCTGATGTACGACTAGAAAAGGAATTTTGACGAGGATATTCAGGATGAATAATCTGAACTGTGGCAATCATGAAAGTACCATGTATTTTGTCCTAAACTTTTATATATGAATTTTCTTATAATAATATAAAATATACACCAAGGAAACTGTTTGGTTTGGGATCAGCCCCATAGTACTTAGAACCTTTAATTCAAGATTCTAAGCTCCTTGCTTGTCTTTTTTTTTTTTTTTTTAAAGATTTTATTTATTTATTTATTTGACAGACAGAGATCACAATAGGCAGAGAGGCAGGCAGAGAGAGAGAGGAAGCAGGCTCCCCGCTGAGCAGAGAGCCCGATGCGGGGCTCGATCCCAGGACCCTGGGATCATGACCCGAGCCGAAGGCAGAGGCTTCAACCCACTGAGCCACCCAGGTGCCCCTCCTTGCTTGTAAGTCTGTATGTTTATTTCACCATCATGGAATATGTAACAGGCATTCAATAATCACTTAAATATTTACTAACTATATATTAAGTACTCTGCTAAATTCTAAAAAAAATATAAGCCGAACTCTTTGGTTTTAAGAAGTTTTTAAATGAACTGGTAAAACAAGTCCTATATGTAGTAATAGAAAACAATATATAATTAAAAGACCAAAGAGGCACATGGATAATTATAAGGCCAAAGAATCCACCTGTCAGTGTTGAGCGAGGTGGCTGTGAGGTGGGACTTAGAAAAAAGATATAATTAGGGGTGTCTGGGTGGCTCAGTCAGTTAAACATCTGACTCTTGGTTTCCACTCAAGTCATGACCTCAGGATGGTGAGACTGAGCCCTGTGCTGGGCTCCATGCTCTGTGTGGAGTCTGCTTGAGATTCTCTGCCTTTCCCTCTTCTGCCCCTCTCCCTGCTCATGTTTGCACTCTCTCTCTCAAATAAGTAAATAAAATCTTTAAAAAAGAAAAAGAAAAAAGACATTAATAGAACATTCCAGGATTCGTGAAGAAGGGTGGGAACAGGGGCGCCTGGGTGGCTCAGTGGGTAAAGGCTCTGCCTTCGGCTCGGGTTGTGATCTCAGTGTCCTGGGATCGAGCCCCATATCGGGCTCTCTGCTCGTCGGGGAGCCTGCTTCCCTATCCCCACTCTCTTTGCCTGCCTCTCTGCCTACTTGTGATTTCTGTCAAATAAATAAATAAAATCTTAAAAAAAAAAAAAAGAAGAAGGGTGGGAACAAATGGTACTAGTGTGATAAAGGACAAAGGCTTAAAATTACAGAAACTAAAGCGATAGTAGGGAACTTACACATCACTCATTCCAACCCCCCACCATCTCTAAAGCACCCCTGACTGATGGTTATTAGGCTATTTATGAATACTTGAAATGACAGGCAGTTTAGTTTATTTTTGAATAGTTATATTAGAAAATTTCTCTTTAAAATCTTTGAACAGGGGCAACCGGGTGGTTCAGTTGTTTAAGTGACTGCCTTTGGCTCAGGTCCTGGGATGGAGCCCTGCTCAGTGGGGAGCCTGCTTCTCCTTCTCCTGCTCCCCCTGCTTATGCTTTCTTTCTCTCTCTCTCTATCAAATAAATAAAATCTTTAAAAAATAAAAAAATCCCTGAACAAAAGAAAAAGATGTTCATCAGGAGAAAATATTTTTAAAAAATTGTGAAGTAAGGTATACATGTTGTTAAAAAGAATAAAATAGTACTAACAGGTTGGAAAAAATAGCTTTCTGCCCTAATTCTGACCTCTCCATCCCCTTGAATGGCAACCACTTTTTCTTTCTAGCACCTACTTTTAACAGATGAACACTTCCAATGTTTAGAAATCCAAAGCCATTCTTCCTAGGACTGTGGCTTTTTTGTGGGGAGGAGAAGTAGGAAAGGATCAGAAGGCTAAGATTTTTCCTTAATTCTCAATGTGTTGAAATTTCAAAATGATGTGCCTTGGTGCCAGTCTGTTTTCCTAATAGGCGGAGCCTTTTTTTTTTTTTTTTAAGATTTTATTTATTTATTTGACAGAGATCACAAGTAGGCAGAGAGGCAGGCAGAGAGAGAGAGGAGGAAGCAGGCTTCCCGCAGAGCAGAGAGCCTGATGTGGGGCTCGATCCCAGGACACTGGGATCATGACCCGAGCCAAAGGCAGAGGCTTTAACCCACTGAGCCACCCAGGCTGAGCCTTTTCAATAAAGGGCTCATTTCTGTGATGGCTTCCTATATAATTTTGATATATATATTTTTTACCTCTCTGTTTGTTGTTTTTCTGAAACTCCCATAGTTAGGTATTAGACCTCCTGAACCATTCTTTTTTTTTTTTTATTTGTCAGAGACAGAGAGAGTGAGCACAAACTGGGGGAATGGCAGGCAGAGGGAGAATCAGGTTCCTGGCTGAGCAAGGAGCCAATGTGGACTCGATCCCAGGACCCTGGGATCATGACCTGAGCCAAAAGCAGATGCTTAACTGACTGAGCCACCCAGGCATCCCCTGAACCATTCTTCTGATTTTCTTTATCTTTTTCCTCCTTAAAATAAAAACAAAATAATTATCTTTTTTTGTAGTACTTTCTGGAAAATCTTAACTTTACTTTTCTAGCCCTTCCACTGAATTTTGTATTCTAATGATTATGTTTCTGATTTCTAAGACCTCTTTCTTATTCTCTGAATGTTTCTTTTCATAGCATTCTGCTATTGCTTCATGGATACACTATCTTCTCATATTCTCTGAGGATAATAATTTTTTAAAAAAAGGTCTTCAGGGTGCCTGGCTGGCTCGGTTAGTAGAACATGTGACTTTACTTCTCTGGTATGTGAGTTTGAGTCCCATGTTGGGCGGAGATTACTTAAGAAAAAAAGAGGGAAAAAAAGGGTTTTCTTTGTTCCTTGCATTATCTGTTTTCTCTGAGTTCCTTTTTCCAGTTTATTCTGATTTTTCATGTTGGAGATGTTCTTCAAATTATTTATTTATTTATTTTAGATTTTATTTATTTATTTGACAGAGAGAGAGAGGGGGATCACGAGTAGGCAGAGAGGCAGGCAGAGAGAGAGGGAGAAGCAGGCTCCCCGCTGAGCAGAGAGCCTGATGCAGGGCTTGATCCCAGGACCGTGAGATCATTACCTGAGCCGAGGGCAGAGGCTTAACTCACTGAGCCACGCAGGTACCCCCCAATACTTTATTTTTAAAAAATATTTTATTTACTTATTTATTTGAGAGAGATGGCGGGGGAGGGGCAGAGGGAGAGGGACAAGCAGACACCATGCTGAGCACAGAGCCAGATGGAGGGCTCAATCTCATGATTCTGAGATCATGACCTTAGCCAAAACCAAGAATCAGATGCCCAACTGACTGAGTGATCCAGAAGCCCCTCAAATACCTTAGGCAGAGTGCTTGTAATCACTATAAACATTAATAGTGGAATATACTATGGTTAGGTATTATGTTAGAGCTGGAACAGATGAAGTCATTTTGTTTGTTTTGTTTTATGGAGTGATATTTGAACTTGGGTTTTGAAAGAAGGTGGCAACATTTGACTGAGAAAGGTCAGTTAGATAACACAGATCTGCACTGTGTTACAAAAGTCACTAGACACATGTGGCTACTTAAAACTAAATGAAATTGAGGGGCGCCTGGGTGGCTCAGTGGGTTAAAGCCTCTGCCTTCGGCTCGGGTCATGATCTCAGGGTCCTGGGATAGAGCACCACATCGGGCTCTCTGCTCAGCAGGGGGCCTGTTTCCTCCTCTCTCTCTGCCTGCCTCTCTGCCTACTTGTGATCTCTGTCTGTCAAATAAATAAATAAATAAATAAATAAATAAATAAATCTTAAAAAAAAAAACAAAAAACTAAATGAAATTGAAAATCAGGTTTCTCACAATTCAAGTGGAATGTGCTGCATGTGGCTAGGGAGTACCACACTGGGCAGTGCCTTACATTTCTACCACACAAGAAGTTCTATTGGTTCTGTAGAGTGTCTTTTGGGTGTTGGTATATGAAGATTTGGCTTCTATTAGCAGGAAGATTTATAAGTTTCCCAGCTTCATCAAATTCTTGAGTATACAATTCAACCACAGTTTAGATATATATTTACCATAACATTCTCTGGATATATCAAGAGCAAAGAACAAAAGCATGCATATATAGTAGTTGTTAAATAAGTAGCTGTTGAATCTAAAATTGTGAGAGTCAAACAACTATCAACACAAAATGACAATTTAATCTTATAGTATAAATCCTAGCATTTATTTATTTATTTATTTATTTATTTAAAAAGATAGATTTATTTATTTATTTATTTATTTAACAGACAGAGATCACAGGTAGGCAGAGAGGCAGGCAGAGAGAGGGAGAGGAGGAAGCAGGCTTCCCACTGAGCAGATAGCCCGATGCGGGGCTCGATCCCAGGACCCTGGGATCATGACCCGAGCCGAAGGCAGAGGCTTTAACCCACTGAGCCACCCAGGTGCCCCATAAATCCTAGCATTTAGATGTTGCTTAGTAAATATCTGTTGACTCAGATTGGATTCAACAGCACCATTTGGGGAATTGATGAAGAATGGACAGAGCATTGCTATGATATTATTTGTTACTGAGCTGGTTTCATGATAAACATTGATCCATTCTGGGCTGAATCCAAGGAGAATTAATTATTGGACTGACAGAGGATGTCTTGTAAGAAACTTATATTAAAGTGAGACTTCAACATATTAACATACCTCTGGTTCTACGTTTGATATCAGATTCGGCTTCATTTCCTTCCTTTCCCTCATCATTAATGGAAATGGCATCCAATTCACGGCAGAGAGAGCTACAAATAATAGAATAAGAGAATTTTTTTTTTAAATTTTTTAACTCTATACTTGATTTCGGGCTCAAACTCATGACCCCAAAATCAAGAGTCACATGCCCTACCAACTGAACCAGCCACGTGCTCCAGAATAAGAGAATTTTATTCTGTTTTTTAAAAGTAGTCTCTATGCCCAGTGTGGAGCCTAATTCAGGGCATAAACTCATGGCCCACAGATCAAGACCTGAGCTGAGATCAAGAGTTGGACGCTTAACCAACTGAGTCACCCAAGCCCCCCAGAATAAGAATTTTAAGATTTTATTTATTTAATAGAGGGAGAGATCACAAGTAGGCAGAGAGGCAGGCAGAGAGAGAGGGGGAAGCAGGCTCCCTGCTGAGCAGAGAGCCCGATGTGGGGCTTGATCCCAGGACCCTGAGATCATGACCTGAGCTGAAGGCAGAGGCTTAACCCACTGAGCCACCCAGGCACCCCCAGAATAAGAATTTTAAAGTTGGTTCTTGGTCAACATTACCCAGTGTATGATAGCACAAGAATCCCACAAAATTTTCTGTGAAAACAGTGTGTGACCAACTAAATTTGGGATATTCTAAAAATCACAATCGCATCTTGCGAGTTTTCCATGCATAAGAGCATAATAAAAACTGGGAAATCTTGCAGTAAATAACATTTTATCTGTTAAAATCGTTATTTCTCAAACTTATTTGAACTTACAATCTTTTTATAAGAGAATAGCAGCTTGTGTTCTGTGGAACTCATTAGGAAATGTTGCTTTACAAAGGCACTGTCATATAGCCTCAGAGCACCTGCCTCTCTGAAAGGGATCTAATTCAACCTACTTCAAATTCAGAGTAAAAATCACAAACAAAAAATGAATGATCAATGATGTGGAACATACCTTATGGTTGGAACAGTAAATGGATCAAACTGTTCCACTTTCTGTACATCAATAGGCACAGAAATACGACCTGTAAGAACCAAAAGTTATAAACTGATGATTGTAAAATACAATCCTATGTGTTATTTTGGCCAAATTTTAATCTAAGGCTTAGAAAAAGGGTTAGACTTACCTTTTTTTTTTTTTTAAGATTTTATTTATTCATTTGACAGAGATCACAAGTAGGCAGAGAGGCAGGCAGAGAGAGTGAGAGGGAAGCAGGCTCCCTGCCGAGCAGAGAGCCCAATGTGGGACTCGATCTCAGGATCCTGAGATCATGACCTGAGCCGAAGGCAGCGGCTTAACCCACTGAGCCACCCAGGCGCCCCTTATCTGTTAAAAACAATAGCTAGAAATTACTTCCACATTAGCTGTTTTTAATTTCTCCTAAAAACAAAAAAAATAGATATGAAAGAATGTTGAGCTATAATCTAGTGTTCTTATTTCCACTTTTATTTCTATCTCCTTCTTCCTAATATCTTTATATGTAAGGACAGAATGATATCAAATTTAGTGAGTCCTGAAAAATGAAATAACATAGATATAGTTCATTTCATTAACTTGGTTTATTTGCTGAGATCAGAACAGACACCTATATGTTGGGCATCTTTAGAAAGCATTTTGGAAATAAAATAGACAGCATTATACTTTCCCTTTCACAATATCCATACCTGGGATACCTCATAAAATTCATTACATCTCAAAAATGAGATAATCAATCTAAAGGATGCCAGGTAAATAACAAGTAAAATAATCAAGAGAATTGGGAGTTGTTTGAAGACAGTGTAAAAAGACTACAGCTACTTATGGGAAAAGAATATAATCAAATGTGTATACTTATGAACATAATTATTTACCCAAACTCTGAGTATTAGAATAAGGGGATACCCACTATAGCTTTAGAATTAGGTTTAAAAAATAATAAGAAATATATAATGCACACTGCATCAAAAACTAATGATGTGGGGCAACTGGGTGGCTCAGTGGGTTAAGCCTCTGTCTTTGGCTCAGGTTATGATCTCAGGGTCCTGGGATCGAGCCCCGAATTGGGCTCTCTGCTCTGCAAGGAGACTGCTTCCCCCTCTCTCTCTGCCTGCCTCTCTGCCTACTTGTGATCTCTCTCTCTGTCAAATAAGTAATAAAATCTTTTTATTTATTTATTTATTTATTTATTTATTTGACAGAGGGATACACAGTGAGAGAGGGAACACAAGCAGGGGGAGTGGGAGACGGAGAAGCAGGCTTCCTGCTGAGCAGGGAGCCCGATGTGGGGCTCGATCCCAGGACCCTGGGATCATGACCCGAGCTGAAGGCAGACGCTTAACGACTCAGCCACCCAGGCGCCCCTAAATAATAAAATCTTAAAAAAAAAAAAAAAACCACAAAAAAAACAACTAATGATGTATTTTATGGTGACAAATAAATTAAATAAATAAATAAACAAACCCAAAACTTTTCAGCTGCTGGCTACCTAAACATAATTTTAAAATAATAATCAAATCAAATTAAAAAAATTAAAAATTAATTAATTCAAAAACTTAAAAAAGAAATATATAATGAGCACTGGGTATGATATGGAACTGATGAATCACTGAACTCTACCTCTGAAACTAGTAAGACAAATTAAAAAAAGAAATACTAAGCTTATTATCAAAAGAAGCTAAAAACACATAGTTGATAGGTTTAGAAAGGGGCTATTCAAATATATGCACTAGAGAATCATCACAGATTATTAAAGGAAACTAGGCAACTTGGGAGAATTGAATGTGTGACAGATCCTTTTCTAAGTACTTTACATCTTATTATTATTTTTTATTTATTTTTTTTAAAGATTTATTCATTTGAGAGAGACAGAGACAGAGAAAGCACAAGCAGGGGGTGAAGCAGAGGAAGACGGAGAAGCAGACTCCCTGCTGAGCCCGGAGCCCGACTTGGGGCTTGATCCCAGGATCTAGAGACCACGACCTGAGCCAAACACAGACACCAAAACATCTGAGCCACCAAGGCGCCCCAGCACTTTACCTTTTAGATCTTCACAATAACCCTGTGAGTTAAGTACTATATCATTTCCATTTACAGATGAGGAAACCAAGACACAGAGAATAATTAGCCTAACATCCCACAGTGAGTGGTAGAGTTAGACGAAAAAGGACAACTACATACAACTGTATATGTCTCCTGGTTGGATGAAGCAAAGTTTATGTCAATATAGCAACCATTATATTTATTTTAAAGTCAGTTTCAGTCCATCAAAACATATCTAAGAGAAATGTGGAGGAGGAAAGCTAAAACTATGGAAAAAGAACTGAGGGAGGAGGCATAGTGGGAAAAGCACAGAACTTTCAAGTTTTAAGAACTGAATTCTGTTCCTAGCTTTGACACAATTTGTTTTAAGACTGTGAACAAGTCACATCAACCTCTTGGACCACGGTTTTCTCATCTCTACAATGAGAACTGTTGTCCTCGGATTTCTAAGTTCCTCTATAGTTCCAACACTAAACCTCAGAAACCCAGAGGAAAATTATTTATGTAGTGGAAACTGATCTGGTAGCTACTAGTCGACAATTAAAAAATAACTTAGTTATCATACGTATTCATACCCAGTGACATGCTTACTCAAACAAAAAATAACTAATTTTTCTTCTAGTTTTCTTTGCTTTCTTTACGTTGTACCTGTTTTAGGATGAACACTAAAGGGGCTCTTCAGTAAATGATTGATTCCTTTGCTAACATTGATGTCCAGCCGCGGGAAACAGTACTGGAGCATGATCTCCCATTCCAGCCAGGGTCCACATTTGTCATTTTTGGTACTATCCTAAAAGCAGATGAAACTCTAGCATGAGGATCAGTAGAAACTTTTGAGGATTTCTTTAAGAGGTTAAAAAATGGCTTTCAGTGATCTTTAACTTACTAAGCAAAAAAATTAGAATTTAACTAAGAATTACATTATATTTATAATAGAGATTTCAATGGAATATACCTGCAAGCTGATGGCTTTCGTCAAATATTCCCAACGCTGAAGTGAATTGTGATACTTTGGGAAGTTTTGCTGAAGTGTCTCATGAATTGGTGATGAGTCATTAAGGAACACAGTCATTTAGAGCCATTGATGAACAATTTATTTTCAGTATGTATTACTCACAAGGATATCAAAAGTTTACTAGAAAGTAATTATTGTTTTCAAAAATGCAAATATTAATTAAATATATTTCCTTAAAAAAGTCCCCTGTAAAAATATATACTGATATGACAGAAAGAATGCCAAAATAACCATATAGTTTTTTTGTTTTTTTTTTAAGATTTTACTTATTTATTTGGGAGAGAGAGAATGAGAGAGAGAGAAAGCACGAGAGTGGGGAGGGTCACAGGGGGAAGCAGACTCCCCTGCTGAGCAGGGAGCCTGAGGTGGGACTTGATCCTGAAACTCCAAGATCATAACCTGAGCCAAAGGCAGTCACTTAACCGAGCCACCCAGGTGTCCCTTCTATATAGTTTAATGTAAAACCTTTCCCTGGTCTGTACATATTTTGACAAAATGATTCAGCATTCTTTAAGTATCCATTAATTCTATGAGGAGCAACTTCCAAAATGAGGAAATTTATTTCCAAAATGGTCTCATTTCTTACTGTATTCCAGACTAGATATACTAAAATGCAGGAAAACAGGAGACGTTTTTGTAAAAAAGATTAAACTTATAAGAGTAAGTATATGAGGGACGCCTGGGTGGCTCAGTGGGTTAAAGCCTCTGCCTTCGGCTCAGGTCATGATCCCAGGGTCCTGGGATCGAGCCCCACATCAGGCTCTCTGCTCAGCAGGGGCAGTGGGGGTCCCTTTGGGAGATGGAGTAGCTGGGGCTCTTTTGGGGGGAGTTGCTTGAGACTCCTTGGGAGAGGGAGGAGGCAGAGCTTGGGAGGTGGGGGCCTCTCTGGGAGGTTGGGTAGGTGGGGACTTTTTGGGAGAGGAAAGAGTCATAGCTGGGGGAGTAGAGGCCTCTTCAGGGGATGGGGTTGCTATGCCCCCTTTGGGAGATGGAGTCATTGGGGTTCTTTTGGGGGCTGGAGTTGCCTGAGACCCTTTGGGGGAGGGAGGAGCCACAGGTGGGGCAGTGGGGGGCCCTTTGGGAGATGGAGTAGCTGGGGTTCTTCTGGGGGCTGGAGTTGCTTGGGACTCTTTGGGAGAGGGAGGGGCCACAGCTTGGGGGTTGGGGGTCCCTCTGGGGGAGGAAGGAGTCACTGCTGGGTCCCCTTTGGGGGATGAAGGAGCCACAGCTGAGGCAGTGGGGGTCCCTTTGGGAGATGGAGTAGCTGGGGCTCTTTTGGGGGCTGGAGCTGCTTGTGACTTTTTGGAGGATGAAGTTGCTGGGGCTCCTCTGGGGGAGGAAGTAACTATAGCTGGGGGAGTGAAGGCCTCTTTGGGAGGTGGGGTACCTGGGGTCTCTTTGGGGGAAAGAGTGGGGGAATGCTTCTTGGCCAGTGACCCTTTAGGGACTTGAAAAGAAAGATTGGCCTCTGGAAGAAAGGACGCTTCAACTGGAGAAATAGGGGAGGAGTGATTTCCAGCAGGAGTATCAGGGATAGCAGGAACACTTTTCGAAAGAGGAGAAAGGGTTAAGGTAGTAGAAGGAGCTGAACCCTTCTTGGTTGGACGTCTTTTAGTTTGAGGAGACACACTAGTCCCTAAAGGAGATGGAGAGTCAGCTAAGTAAGTTCCTTTTGAAGATGCATTAACAGAAGCACAAGCACCAGAGTCCTTGGTTGGGTGCCCTTCAGGAGAGGAAGCCACAGGTGCCAATGCTGAGGTATGAGAAATACCGTGAACTTTCTTTGCACCTTGAGGATGAAGAGAGGGAAAGGGCTCAGACTTGGGAATTTCTGGGGCTAGTGCTATGGCAGCTGGAAAAGCAGAAACATTCTGGGGGGATAAAGTCACAGCTGGAGCCACAGGACAACTTTCAGAGACTGGAGGAACCACAGGTAAAGTAAGAGTGGAACTACCCTTCTTACCTGGATGGCTTTTATGAGATAAAGAGATATCTAGAAAAGGACTGGCTGTAGTGGAGGTACCTTTGGTAACTGCAGGAGCCACTTCCGCAGTAGCAACACGTTCCAGAGGAAATGTAGCTATGCTTGGGGTGGTGAGAGAACTTTTGAGAGGCAGACTACTGGGGTCTGTCTTGATTATAGAGGCTGGGGAGTTAACACCCAGAGGAGAGGGAGCAGTACTTGCTGACGTAACTACAGGGAGAGGCTCTACAAGGCTTTTCTTTGCTAAGGAGGCTTCAGGAGGAAGAGCTATCTCCAGAGATGATGATATAGTTTGGGGAGAGGGGGGATTTTTGGGGGTTGCCAGTACTAATGGTATTAGAGTCGAGTCTTTCTTGGTAGGGAGTCCTGCCTGTTCTCGTGACACAGGGGCTCCAAGAGAGGGAAGTTCAGTTTGGATATTTCCTTGTTTTGGTAACTTTACCAATGCTGATGTAGGGAGACCTTTGGGGTTCTCAGAGAATGAGAGAGGAGGGGGGACTGGTATTCCCAGAGGGGTTACTTGAGGAGTAGAAAGCTCTTTGGGAGCCCCAGGAGCCATAACCGAGGCAGTGCGGGAAGCTGAGTCCTTATTACTTATGGGATCTGATGAAACTGGAGGAGACATGCAAGTAGCTACCTCAAGGGTAGTAGGTGTTGCAGAAATTGTGGAGGGATTAGTCATAACGAATGGGATAGTTCCAACAGAAGAAAGAGGAGCTTCTTTCAAGCTCGGACTCCCTGGAGGAGGAGGAATTTGGGTCACCAAAGGCTGATGAGGAGTGGCATTAGGAGAGCCTTTCAGAATGAGACAGGCTGTAGGAGATAATGGAGAAGAGGTGGCTAAGTCTGATGAGCCAGAAGGACTGAAGGAAGCTATACCAGTGACAGCAGGGGGTTCTTTCTCAATAGAAAGAGCCAGAGGGGAAGCTGGAGCCTCCGAAGTAGAAGCCACCTCATTTCTGGAAGGAAGTGGAGAAATTACAGATCTCTGAGAAGGGTAAGAGGCCCCAATGGGAGAATGAGCTGCAGAAATGGCATCCACTTTAGGATTTGACAGAACATTAGGACCTGTTTGACCTAAGGGTCGAACAGGAGAATCAAGAGAACCCTGATGTAAAGGTGCTAGATGAGAGCCCAGAGAAGTGAGGAAAACTGGAGTGACGCTGGGAGCCACAGATATAGACTGGGTTGAAAGAGGTAATGTAGCAGGTGAATTAAGGGGTCCCTTTACGCTGAGGCTTTCAGGGTTTTGTGGAGAAGTCAGAGCTGAGGAAACAGGGATGCCTTTGAACTGAGGGGGAGTGACGGCTGGGGTAGTGGTGGGTGGCATTTGAGGACATGCGGCTGCTCCAGACTGAACAGAGGCCAAGGGAGTTCCAAGATGGGAAGGAACAGCACTGACTATACCTGGAGGGATAGGGGTGCCTTTTAGATTAGGGCCTACTTGCATGGGAATTTGAATAGAAGAGGTCTTTGGTTCTGAGGAAACAATGGGAGTTGACAGAGATGTTACTGACCCTGACTCAGCCCCAGCAATCAAAGGAGGTGAATTAAGAGGGTTAAGTGGATAAGTAGAGCTCTTTTGAACTGAGTGGGGAGCCAAGGCCACCAGAGCCAAGGGAGCTGAAGAGGAATGGGCATCTTTCACAGCTGGAGTTATCATGGGAGAGGCCAGAGCTAAGGCAGCTGGGGAGATGGGAGGCCCTATTAGGTTTGGTAGGAAAACTGGGGTGTCAGTGGGGGAAGGGGCAACTCCCAAAGGAAGGATTGTTCCAGAGGATGATTGTGGAAAAGGAGCTTCAAAAGGGGTTGAGACAACACTAGAGGGAGGAAGGAATGGGGAAGCCTGGTTAGGGGTTGCCAGAGGGCACTGTTGGGGGGCCAGGGAGCAAGGAGAGGGTAGGGTAGATTCAGGCTGCCTTAAGGCAGCAGTGACACTCAAGGCTGAAGACACAGGAAGCACAGCTGGAGGAGAAAAGCAAAAAAGGGGATAAAGAAGGAAAGGGAAGGAAAAAAACAAAGGTGAGTTATGCAGCCCAAGTTGGTACAACATGCCTCACAGGAAACACGGAATTTTTAATCCGAGGATGAAAGTCACCGCACAGGATTAGACAAAGGTGACAGGCAACAGCAACCTTCCCCAAATATACTTCAGTGGTCGATTAAGAATACATCCCTCTCCCCATCTCCCACATTTCCCAAGTTCTACGCCCCCCGACAAGCAAACTATTTTAAGGTGGAGATAACAGTCTAAGCAGCCTATTAGTCTCTAAATGGGGAGCACAGGCCTAGCAGTGGGTTGGGAACAGCATGCTTTCCACCCTTTCCCAGATGTGCCCTCCCTTCCCTCCTTGAATGAACCCAAAGTCTTTCTTACAGGCCATAGAATACCAGTAGAATAGATGTTCTACTGTCAAGGATCACGAACTAACTGAAACAGATACTGAAAATTGGAACAAGGCAGGCAGTGAGTGCTGATAATGATGGGGAGCCGGAACTGAATGAAAAACAAAAACAAAAAACGACTCTCCCCTCACCCCTGCAACAAACCAAGTCTTTATATGCTCAGGCTTTCACTAGGTCAAGAAAAACCTGACTCTTAGAATAAAGTTTTAGGGGGTACCTGGGTGGCTCAGTGGGTTAAAGCCTCTGCCTTCAGCTCAGGTCATGATCCCAGAGTCCTGGGATCGAGCCCCACATTGGGCTCTCTGCTCAGCAGGGAGCCTGTTTCCCTGGCTCGCTCTCTGCCTGCCTCTCTGCCTACTTGTGATCTCTGTCAAATAAATAAATAAAATCTTAAAAAAAAAAAGAATAAAGTTTTAGGAAGGTGGTGTTGACATACAATTTTGTGTTAAGTGTTAAATACTAAGTCACTTTGCCTCCCTATGCCTCAGTTTACCTACTGACCCCAAACAAAAAATCAACCACAAATGGGTTGTATTTCATAATGTCCACACACTTTCCTAGGTATTGTTAGCTCTTCAGACATCAATTTAAGATGAATTAGACTGCTAGGGAGAGAGCTTAGTCACAAGGGTAAGGGCTGTATTATGAAACTGTAGGCCAACTTGTTAAACCAGACTGTGGTTCTATTTTGGAAGTAGGGAATTGGAGTGGAGAATACACTGGCTCTCCACCCCTTAATCTGGATAAGTATGTCATTCTGCCAAAATAGACCAATGTTCAGCACTACAGTAAAGCTCAGTAAGATTTCCTGAATGAGGGGCGCCTGGGTGGCTCAGTGGGTTAAGGCTGCTGCCTTCGGCTCGGGTCGTGATCCCAGGATCCTGGGATCGAGCCCTGCATCGGGCTCTCTGCTCAGCGGGGAGCCTGCTTCCCTTCCTCTCTCTCTCTGCCTGCCTCTCTGCCTGCTTATGATCTCTGTCAAATAAATAAAAAAAAAAAAAAAAAAAAAAAAAAGATTTCCTGAATGATAAAAACTCACAATTTATTCACCACTAATTCTAGTTAGAGTATCCAACTCCAGAAAGGACAGGTGGCTCAACCAGGTTTTCCTGGAGAGTTGGTAGGTAAAAATCTCACGATTAAAGGGCAAATGCCTCCAAACATATGAATCAGAATTTGAAACTTAGAATGTTTTCCTCTAACTAGACTTCTAAGATGGTTAGTTAAAGCCCAATTTACTTGCTTTAGACACCATAACCAATTCCTTGGGCTCGTTTTCACATTCGTTATAACAACTACCTAATTAAGAAAAAATTCAGCGTTTTACCACTGGCCCTCCCTTAATATTACTAAACCTACTGTGCAAGCTCTATTCAGAAATAAGCTTAACAGCACTAAGGATGACTTCAGAAGCAAATGGCATGAGGCTTGAAACAAATTCATCTAAATTTCAGTTTCCACATTTGTAAAATCAAGTTGTTCAATAAGGTTTTGATTAGTATTGAATTATAGGATCTTTTAGAGATCAGTCCTTTATTTTCTCTTTCCATTAAGTCCCCTGTACCTCAAGGATTTCATATAGCTTGTTCACTAGCTTAGAGGCCCATTCCTTTTTCTTTTCTAGCAGCTGTATTAATCCTCTCAGCTGCTAAAATCAGACAGGTGGGGAGAGAGAACCTCAATGCTTTCAACTATAAACAACTCTATTTTAAGTCCAGAAGGGGAAAGGAATTGCTTAAGTGACAGGTGGGGTTAAAAAAAAAAAAAAAGTAAAAAAAAAAAGTTTATAGTAAGAAAAAGTGAGGATGGAAGTTACGGCCTGAAGATTCTCTTCATTTATTTCAGCACAACTGACATAGCAAGAACATCATTAAATATTTTTTCACTACACCCTCTCGAGTTTTCTAGAGAAGTATTTTAATGAGAATTTGAAACCTGCCTTTATACTATGTTTATATCCATTAATTTCAAAGCTGAAGAGCAGTCAAAGGAAAACTTTATTTCAATCTTGGGTTCCGGGCAAGCTGTTGATTCCAGCACACTATAAACATCTTAGTACCAACTGATAAAATAAGTGAACCAACCCAGCAGGGCCCTGCGGCCCAGTAAGACACATTTACCACCAGCACACATCTCATCCAGACATGTGACAAAGGCACAATGCCAAGCTCTGCCATCTAAAACCTTGATGCAACTTGCTGGCTGCATCTTCACAAAGCTCAGGTCTCCTTGGCCTGCAAGTGTGTCATCCAGTTCTAATAGGTAAGAATCACTGAGCCCCCTCCTCCCTGCTCAGTTTTACTGTGAGTTGAGGGCTCCCCAGTACGACCTATGAGGTAGTTGCCATAATCTACAATGCAGGCCTGGGAGCCTTTTATGCTCTCGGATCTTAAATATCTCTTTATAGTCCATTCCTTAATGAAGTCCCTCCAGGACGGCAGTAGTATCACGGATTCTCCTCCCTGGTAAAGCTACAGCCATCTTTAATGAGTTAACTCTGAAAAAACCAAGGGTATTCCATTTGCCATTTTACCCACCAAATGGTCTTAGGGTCAGTCTTAAAATTTTAATGAACAGTAAGGGGACTAGGGGAACCTACCTGTCTCAGCCTGGGGCTGTGGCAACTCCTGCTCTGTAGCAGGGACGGTTTCTGTGGCTTCACCAGGCATTTCTGAAGGGAATAAAAAGGAGGCCTGAATTGACTGGGATCCGTTCTGCTGCCCAACCCAGAGTCAAATATTCTTAAAAACTCTGCGAAGGGCTGTTAAGGGGGAAAAAAAAAAAAAAAAAATTACGAGGACGTTTCAGGACAATCCTCCCCAAAGCAGCTGGGAATAGGTAAGAAATAAGACGTGACTCTCAGATCTCGGATCAAGCTAATCACCTTCTACCTCTCTTTACTCCGCAGAGAATGAACCTTCAGTGGCCAAGGGGTTCCTTTTATTCTACACTCTAAACCCCACAGAGGCAACACTCAGCACTGCGTTCTCAACCCCTGGGAGAGGATCCCGGTCTGGCTCGCGACCGCGGGTGACTTCAGACGCTAGCCTGCACCACCTCCTACACTCACGTCGCCTGGGCTGGGACCACCACGTCTCCCGTTTGCCGGACTTTCGGGAACCAGGAGGGGAAAGAGAGTGCCTAAAGTCCCAACACTCACTTGTCACAATTAAGAACGGCGTGTGTGTGTGTACGCGCGCGCGGGGGTGGGGTGTTCCAAGGCTGTGACCCCCTTAACCTCTTTTGGGTTCTCGTGAAGCCGTTCCCTATACCACACACACTCCGCTTCCGCCCCCCACACCGCAACGGCTCTATGTCGCCAGCCCTGTCCTCCAGGCGCGGCAGGCGGCCCTTCTACCCTGCTTTTGCCAGGACATCAACCGCAGACCCCATTTTGTCCGGAGGCCCCAAGGCCACACTTCCCAGGGCCAAGTAGGAACCCAGCAGCCCCATAAAGCCACCAACTCCCCTTAGCTCCTAGTCTCTGGGGCGGCTTAGTCCGCAAGAAAGGAGGATGGCTGCGGATAAAGAGTTGCGGCGAAGACAGGACTTACTGTGCGGGGGACGCGGAACCAAGATGGCGGCAGAAAGAGAGCGAGCGAGAGCGTGACCCACGCCTGTTGCAGAAGGAAGCTTGGCAGAGGGGGCGGGACCAGGATCCGATTCCGGGTCAGGAGCTGCCAGCAGTCACTTCCTTTGAGTGATCCGTCCTACTGTTCCCGGACTGGGGTGGTGATGAGGTCTAAATAAGGGTAAGAATTCGGAACAGGACGCGCTGGATTGGCAGGAACCTCAACCTCGAGCCGTGCACTCCTTAGATAGCCGACTCCTTCCCGTCCCCTGAGTTGAGGCATTTTTGATACCCGAAAGGAAAGTGTAGTCAGAGAAGCAACCTCTGCTCTCTGGTCAGTAAAGTAGCCACAGCGGTATTATAGTGACTTTTTGATTTCCCTTTTTCAACTAATGCAGGGAAATAGGAGATACTAAATAATATGGAACGCCACAGATTGTAGTCACATCATTGTAAGATAGCAGTGACTGAGGTTAACCCTCAATTATTTTATTTTTGGAACACACAATTTAGATCGATGTTGAAACTATTAGATTACACTCCTCAGAGAAAAGCGCATAGGCATATATACAATTCTTTTTGCCTGCTGTTTTGGGCAAATAGATATCCCGAAACTCATCCATGCTAGTAGTCCTGGACCCCAAGTTAATTACTCTTGCTTTACACTGTAAATATTCCTGAGAGTAGAATGTAAATTCAGTGGTTTGTTCATGAAAAGGCCATGGGTCCTGATCCCCTTGCCCTCTCAGCCCTACAAAAAGACTCAACAAATACATTACCTAAACCAGCAAAACTATTTGAACTAAAGGCTTTAGGACAATTGTGGCTGCCTTTTAAGAGAAGCAGTGACGTTATGCTCTAAAAACTATTTTGAAGTGAGGATTAGTGAATTAGGATTAAATGAAATAGTGGAGCTTACCAGGAATGAGAAATTCTGAAATTTTTTTCAGATAGGGGAGGCAATATTGTGGAATGATTAAGAACATGAATTCTGTAAGGGTGCCTGGCTTGCTCAGTTGGAAGTGCATGCAACTCTTGATCTCAGGTTCATGAGTTCAAGCCCTATGCTGGGTGTAGAGATCAATTAAATAAACTTAAAACACACACACATACACAGAACATGGACTCTAGCTATACTTGTCTGAATCACAGCTTTGTCACCTCATAGTGACCTTGGGCAATTTAATTAACCAGTTTGTGCCTCAGTTTCCCCATCTAAAAAGGGGGATATAGTAGCTACTTGATAGGATTGTTAGGAAGATTAGGTAATATATGTACATTACTTGGAAAGTGCTTACTATTATTTTTTCTAAGTAAATGTGCGATCTGGAAGATTTGTCAGCGCAGTCCATTTAACTTCAGAAGAAGGAGCCAGCAATAGCCAATCATCTTCATAGACAAGTAAAGCTATTTTGACCATTTCACTTTCTTTTCCATCAAGCCCACTAACTCTTCTCTCTGCTGTTAATGACTAAGGAAGGATGTATTTTCTTTCTTTGGATTTTTTTATAAATTGGGCAAGTCTGGAGACGGAAGTCAGTTCTGTGACCTTTGTTTCTACAATTCTCACAAATGGATGAGTTGCTAAAATCAGAGAATAGGGAAGTCAATGGTCTTTGAGCATGTTTCTGCTGTCTTCAAGAATCAAATATTTATTTTGAAAAAAAAAAAAAAAAGACTTGATTTTTTTTAAAATTAAGTTTTTATTTAAATTCCAGTTAGCATACAGTGTAAAAACATTTATTTATTTATTTATATTTTTAAAAGATTTTATTTATTTATTTGACAGAGAAGAGAAGCAGGCTCCCTGCTGAGCAGAGAGCCTGATGTGGGGCTCGATCCCAGGACCCCGGGGTCATGACCTGAGCCGAAGGCAGAGGCTTTAACCCACTGAGCCACCCAGGCGCCCCTATTTATTTATTTTTTTTAAATATTTTATTTATTTTAGAGAGAGAGAGAGAGACAGCGAGAGAGGGAACACGAGCAGGCGTAGTGGGAGAGGGAGAAGCAGGCTTCCTGCTGAGCAAGGAGCCCGACTTGGAGCTCAATCCCAGAACCCTGGGATCATGACCAGAGCTGAAGGCAGACACTCAATGACTGAGCCACCCAGATGCCCCAAAACATTTATACTTTTATATGAGTACAATATGTAACGCTTTATCCAAGAGCTTTAATATTAAAGCATTAAAATACTTTAATGGTAGGCATATTGGAAGCTTGAAACATCTCTTTTTGAAAGCATAATACCAGTCTTTATACTCTGGTTCTGAGTTCTTAAGGTAGACTGAGTCTTTAGTAATTTTGTATTCAGGAATTTTAACTGACCCACTGTTTTCCAAACCTAAAAACTGAACAATACATAGTAAATAGAGACTCAAATGAGGAATTTTGCACAATGGTCTTTAATATTTTTTCTTAAAAAATTAGAAAAGAGAAGGAAATGCAAGGCATTGCCGTGTGTTGACTGTATTGTAAAGTGTTTTATATATAAAACCAAAAGATTAAAAAAAAAAGAAAAGACTGTATGGCTAAAGAGAAAACAATGTTAAAGGAAACGCAAAGGAAAGAAAATAAAATCATAGAAAACACCAACCTGATAGCTTGACTTCTCAGTGTTTCTCAGAAGATGGACTATATTCCAGAATGACTGTTTTCTTTAGACTGGTTGTAAAACCAGGCAAAAGAAATCTGACACTTTCAGAAAAAACAAAAACAAAAACCAACCTATGGAAGAAACAAAACCTTTAAAATTAAGTATCTGGATATGTAGAAAGGGAAGTGTTTTGACAAATAAAATAGGTTTTCTGTTGGTGAAATTGGTTATTCTAAGCTGCTGCTTTATGGTGCAGACTAACCCAATTGTTCTCTGAGGAAAAAAGTCAGGAGCTACAAATGCAACAGTTTTTAAAAAGTACTCTACTGGGGCACCTGGGTGGCTCAGTGGGTTAAAGCCTCTGCCTTCAGCTCAGGTCATGATCCCAGGGTCCTGGGATACAGCCCCACAGCAGGCTCTCTGCTCCGCAGAGAGCCTGCTTCCCCCTCTCTCTCTGCCTGCCTCTTTGCCTACTTGTGATCTCTGTCTGTCAAATAAATAAATAAAATCTTAAAAAAAAAAAAAAGTTAAAACACCATTAAAAAAAAAAGTACTCTACTATCCTCTATTGTAATCTAGTAACTCATATGTTTGAATTGAAGTTTGGTATGTTTAGATGCCCAGTTTAAAATGATTTTTAAGGGGTGCCTGGGTGGGTGGCTCAGTGGGTTAAGCCTCTGCCTCGGCTCAGGTCATGCATGATCCCAGGGTCCTGGGATCGAGCATCGCATTGGGCTCTCTGCTAAGCAGGGAGCCTGTTTCCCACCCTCCCTCCCCCTGCCTTTCTCTCTGCCTGGTTGTGATCTCTCTCTCTCTGTTAAATGAATAAATAAAATATTAAAAAAAATGATTTTTAAGGGGTGCTTGGGTGGCTCAGTGGGTTAAAGCCTCTGCCTTCAGCTCAGGTCATGATCCCAGGGTCTTGGGATTGAGCCCCACATTGGGCTCTCTGCTCAGTGGGGAGCCTTTTTCCTTCCCCCCACCCCTCCAGCCCCCCTGCCTCTTTGCCTACTTGTGAACTCTGTAAAAAAAGAAAAAAAAACTTAAAAAAAAAAAAAAAACATTTTTAAAAGACAGGCAGTGGGGTGTAACCTGACCAATAACAATATCAGTAAGTAAAATTAGAAGTGACAGAATACACACTCCAGGTATAAATGTCTAAGACTTAAGGACAAAGCTCTCATGTACCTACAATATTCAGTCCAGAAATAAGAAGGCTATATCCAGTGAGCTGAGATTAAAGTTTTGAGCATATTATTGCTCACTTGCCTCTACATATGGCAATTGGTAGAAGTATACCAAAATATATATGGCAACTGGTAAAAGGTATATCAAAAAATCTTAAATTATCTTTGTATAATTAGTTTTTTAAATTTTTTCATTATTTTTAATTTTTTCAAAAAGATTTTATTTATTTATTTGACAGAGAGAGAGAGAGATCACAAGTAGGCAGAGAGGTAGGCAGAGAAAGAGGGGGAAGAAGCAGGCTCCCTGCTGGGCAGAGAGCCCAATGTGGGGCTCAATCCTAGGACCCTGAGATCATGACCTGAGCTGAAGGCAGAGGCTTAACCCACTGAGCCACCCAGGCGCCCCTACTAGTTTTTTTTTGTTTTTTTTTTAAGATTTTACTTATTTTTGACAGCACCCACAAGTAGGGGAGCAGCAGGCAGAGAGCGAGAAACAGGCTTTCCACTGAGCAGGGAACCCAGGACCCTGGGATTATGACCTGAACTGATGGCAGCTGCTTAACTGACTGAGCCACCCAGGAGCCCATATAATATTAACTTTTACAAAATATATCTGCAATTCACTTATTCCTTCCATTATTGTTGCTTCCAGAAACCTGGACGTTCTCCTTTGGTGGCCTCAGGAATCTTTTCAACATAATTTTCAAGAAAAGGAAATTTTGGGGGCGCCTGGGTAGCTCAGTCTGTTGAGCGTCAGCCTTTGGCTCAGGTCATGATCCCAGAGTCCTGGGATTGAGCCCCTCATGGGGCTTCCTGCTCAGTGAGGAGCCTGCTTCTCCCTCTCCCTCTGCCTGCTGCTCTGGCTACTTGTGCTCTCTCTGTCAAGTAAAAAAAAAGAAAGAAAAGGAAAGGAAAGGAAATTTTGCTTTGAGCATTAAGACACATTATGGTTCTGTAATATTTATTGAATGGCTCTTGATGTATTTGGTTTTTTAAAGATTTTATTTTTATTTATTTATTTGAAAGAGAGAGAGAGAGAGAGAGAGAGAGAGAGAGAGAGCATGACTTGGGGGGAGGGGCAGAGGGAGAGGGAAATGCAGACTCCCTACTGAGCAGGGAGCCTGACCTGGGACTTGATCTCAGGACCCTGGGATCATGACCCTAGCCAAACGCAGACACCCAGCCGACTAAGCTACCCAGGTGCCTGAAGTATTTGATTCTTGAAGCTAGAAGATATCTACATTGGTTTGAGGAGAGTTGTTATCTTCAGAAGTCTTTCTGTAAATCTGGAATAGAATAGATTGTTATCAAAGGGATAGTAAAGGAAGACAAGACAAATCCCATTTATTTTCACATTCTGATTTGCTTAATGCTTCTATTAAATTCACATCATGCATAAAGATTTGCTTTCACTTTTGCTGAAGCCCACATTATAGGGTTGAGCTAGTACAGAACAAGAGTACAAAGGACTTAATATAGCCAGTTGGAATGGCAGGTTCATTGAGGCTTTCCAAGTTCAGAGTCATCATTATTCATTCAATAAGCAAATATTTAAGTATCTGCTATGAGTTCAGCATTATCTTGGGCACTACTGTTTAACTATCATGCGTATTATTAAAAAATAAAGTGGAAAGGAAGTTGTATTTCTATAACACTACTACAGTTTTCTATGGTATTGATCCATCTCCTGAATAATATTCACTGCTGATTTCTTTCATTTTGGCTTACACATATGTTTGGGTCTCTCTTATTCAAAGACACTGCTGTCCTCTAAGTATCTCCCTTTAGTCCCAATATGCAACATGATTTTATCAGTTCTCTACTGCATTTGACACTTGATAATCTCCTTGAACATTTCCTTTCCCCGGCTTCTGTGACACTTTTAATTTCCTTTTTCATCTCTCCACTTCCAAATCATTACCAACTCTCAAGGATGGCTCTAGTATTTGCTCCTGTTGGAGATATCCAGTACCAGTGTCCTAATGGTAATAGGCCAACTGGCCTCTTGGTCTATTTTATCCCTAACCTCTCCCCAGACACATTGTTGCTAGTTTGATTTTGCTAGATAAAACTTTAAATCATGGTACTCCATTCCTCAAAAACCTTTACTAGATTACCTGTCCCTACTGAATTAAGCCCAGGCTCTCAAGACTGGACTTCAAAGGCCACCTATACCCTGGATTCAGTCTGCTTCTTCAGATTTCTATCCCATCAATTCCTGCCGCATCTTTTTTTTTTATAATTTTTATATATTTTTATTAACATATAATGTATTATTAGCCCTAGGGGTACAGATCTGTGAATCGCCAGGTTTACAACCTCACAGCACTCACCATAGCACATACCCTCCACTATGTCCATAACCCTACCACCCTCTCCCTACCCTCTCCTCCCAGGCAATCCTCAGTTTGTTTTGTGAGATTGAGTCTCTTACGGTTTGTCTCCCTCCTGATCCCATCCTGTTTCGTTTATTCTTTTCCTACCCCCACACCCCTCATGTTGCATCTCCACTTCCTCATAACAGGGAGATCATATGATAGTTGTCTTTCTCTGATTGACTTATTTTGCTAAGCATAATACCCTCTAGTTCCATCCACGCCTGACACATCTTTTTCCATATTAGCTGTATTACTTGATGGCCTCTGGAGTGACCTGATGCTTTCCTATCTAATGCCTTTGCCATTGCTTCAAGAATGAAGAACCTATCCCCTTTTCCCATTCCTGTATCCTTATCAAATCTCTGCTTAACGAAATCTTATGCATACCTCAAGGCATGGCATATTGGCGTTGGGAATTAGAATCTGTATAGCCCCTCAGTGTAAAGAGTTCAAATACCATTCTTTTCATACGAAATCTTCTCAGGTTCTCTCAGTCAGATGAGATCTCTTTCTTAGCATTTTATACTTCTTTGTTTTGTATCAGTAGTACTTCCTAAGGGCAGGGGGGCATGGTGTGGAATTCATCTTTGTATAATTAATCTTTGTTTCCCTCATAGTACCTGATACACAGAAGGTGTCTAATGAGTATCTGCTGAATAGAATTAAGGTAGCTCAATTTTTAAAACACTAAGGATAGTAAGCTAAATCAGTAACTTGTTTTAGGAGGGCAAAAGCTAGAGCTCTAAAATTTCTCATGTACTAGATGATTAAACTTCCTACATTAAGATCTAAATAGCTAAAAAGGAAAGGTATAGAGTCTTACCACTCTTCTTGAGAAGTTCTCCTTTTCGGGATTTATCCAGGTTTTCAAGAAATTGTTCAAAAACTTTTATATAAGGAGCTAGACTGGTCTTCTTATAATCTAAATTATGAAGGCCATGCATTATAATTAGCATTTTGGAAGCAGAATAACATCAGAGTATAACTTTAAGTTTTTAAAAAAAAATTCTCTAGAACAACAATAAGAAAAAGAATTCTCTAGAACAGTACTGTCCAATATAATGAGAAATATGTAGTTTAAATACTCTACTAGTGGGGTGCCTGTGTGGCTTAGTTGGTTAAGCATCTGCCCTCCACTCAGGTCATGATCCCAAAGTCCTGGGATGGAGCCCCACATTGGACTCCCCACTGTGCAGGAAGCCTGCTTTTTCTTCTCCCTCTGCCTGCCACTCCCTCTGCTTGTGTGCTCTCTCTCTCTCTGTCAAATAAATAAATAAAAATCTTAAAATAAATAAATACTCTAGTAGCTACATTAAAAAGGTAAGACTAATTTTAATATTTTATTTAATTCAGTGTATCTAAAATATTAATACATAATAAAAATTGAAATATTTTATTCTCTTTCATACTGTTTGAAATCTAGCATTTTGTACTTAAAATACATCTCAATTTAGATGATACATTATCATGAGAAATACTTGATCTATATTTAGATTTGAATTATAGACAGTGTAAAAGTAGGCTCACATATCCAAATTTCCTAAACATACTTCAATGTTTTCTAATAATTGAATCAAATATCAGTTTTAAAATTTATCTATTGGGGCGCCTGGGTGGCTCAGTGGGTTGAGCCTCTGCCTTTGGCTTGGGTCATGATCTCAGGGTCCTGGAATCGAGTCCTACATCGGACTCTCTGCTCAGCAGGGAGCCTGCTTCCCCTCTCTCTGCTCACTTGTGATCTCTCTCTCTCTCTCTCTCTGTCAAATAAAAAATCTTAAAAAAAACCCCCAAACATTAAAAAATTATTTATTTAAAAATATTTTAAAAATGTTTAAAAATATTTATTTATTTTAGAGAGACATCCCTTAAGATTTTATTTTTAAGTAATTGCTATACCCAACATGGGACTTGAGCTCATAACCCTGAGGTCAAGAGTTGCATGTTCTACCGACTGAGCCAGGCACCCCAATCAGTTTTAAAATTTAAATTAATTAAAATTAAATTTAAAAAGTCAGTTCCTTGTTTATACTAGCCACATTCCAAGTGCTTAACAGCCATATGTGGCTGCTGTATTAAGACAGTGTTGCCTGAAAATATCCAAACCACATGTACATATCTACTTCAGTAGTCAGGCTTTCTGGTATTAGACCAGCATAATCTATTGCTCTATGTTAAATCCCATACAATATTCTTTTTTTTTCTTTTTACAAATTGTGGCTTCATTAATAAATAGTTTTACCAACAGAGCAAACATTAAAAATGTCAGGGGCATTCTACCTGGAGACAACCAGAAGTTTATAGTCATAGTGCCTTAAGTATAGGTATTTTTTTATTTATATAAAATTTTAAAAAATGTATACAGCAAAAAAATTTTTAATCTTTCCCCCCAAGATTTTATTTATTTATTTATTTGAGAGCGAAAGAGAGAGAGAGCACAAGCAGGGGGAGAGGCAGAGGGAGGAACAGACTCCCCACTGAGCAGGGAGCCTGATACAGGGCTTAATCCCAGGACCCTGAGATCATGACTTGAGCCCAAGGCAGACGCTTAATGACTGAGCCACCCAGGCACCCCCACAACAAAATTTTGAATACAGAATCTTAATCGTCTATTTAATTACACAATCTATAATACCCAATAGGGGAGAAAATCTGAGAACAAGATGAGATTTGGATTTCAGTAGTGTGCTGTATCTGGATGGAATAGTCCTCATAATAGTTCATTCAAAAGAGTAAAAAAAGAAACTATACTTAAAAAAATTTTTAAGGGGCATCGGGGTGGCTTAGTCAGTTTAGTGTCTGCTTTTGGCTCAGGTCATGATCCTGAGATCCTAGGATGGAGCCCTGTGTCATGTTGGGCTCCCTGCTCAGTGGGAAGTCTGCTTCTCCTTCTCCCTCTGCCATTCCCCCCCCTGTTTATGTTCTCTCTCTCTCTCAAATAAATAAATAAAATCTCTCTCTCAAATAAAAAAAAAAAAATCTCTCTCTCTCAAATAAAATCTTTAATAAACATTATCTGATGTACGACTAGAAAAGGAATTTTGACGAGGATATTCAGGATGAATAATCTGAACTGTGGCAATCATGAAAGTACCATGTATTTTGTCCTAAACTTTTATATATGAATTTTCTTATAATAATATAAAATATACACCAAGGAAACTGTTTGGTTTGGGATCAGCCCCATAGTACTTAGAACCTTTAATTCAAGATTCTAAGCTCCTTGCTTGTCTTTTTTTTTTTTTTTTTTAAAGATTTTATTTATTTATTTATTTGACAGACAGAGATCACAATAGGCAGAGAGGCAGGCAGAGAGAGAGAGGAAGCAGGCTCCCCGCTGAGCAGAGAGCCCGATGCGGGGCTCGATCCCAGGACCCTGGGATCATGACCCGAGCCGAAGGCAGAGGCTTCAACCCACTGAGCCACCCAGGTGCCCCTCCTTGCTTGTAAGTCTGTATGTTTATTTCACCATCATGGAATATGTAACAGGCATTCAATAATCACTTAAATATTTACTAACTATATATTAAGTACTCTGCTAAATTCTAAAAAAAATATAAGCCGAACTCTTTGGTTTTAAGAAGTTTTTAAATGAACTGGTAAAACAAGTCCTATATGTAGTAATAGAAAACAATATATAATTAAAAGACCAAAGAGGCACATGGATAATTATAAGGCCAAAGAATCCACCTGTCAGTGTTGAGCGAGGTGGCTGTGAGGTGGGACTTAGAAAAAAGATATAATTAGGGGTGTCTGGGTGGCTCAGTCAGTTAAACATCTGACTCTTGGTTTCCACTCAAGTCATGACCTCAGGATGGTGAGACTGAGCCCTGTGCTGGGCTCCATGCTCTGTGTGGAGTCTGCTTGAGATTCTCTGCCTTTCCCTCTTCTGCCCCTCTCCCTGCTCATGTTTGCACTCTCTCTCTCAAATAAGTAAATAAAATCTTTAAAAAAGAAAAAGAAAAAAGACATTAATAGAACATTCCAGGATTCGTGAAGAAGGGTGGGAACAGGGGCGCCTGGGTGGCTCAGTGGGTAAAGGCTCTGCCTTCGGCTCGGGTTGTGATCTCAGTGTCCTGGGATCGAGCCCCATATCGGGCTCTCTGCTCGTCGGGGAGCCTGCTTCCCTATCCCCACTCTCTTTGCCTGCCTCTCTGCCTACTTGTGATTTCTGTCAAATAAATAAATAAAATCTTAAAAAAAAAAAAAAGAAGAAGGGTGGGAACAAATGGTACTAGTGTGATAAAGGACAAAGGCTTAAAATTACAGAAACTAAAGCGATAGTAGGGAACTTACACATCACTCATTCCAACCCCCCACCATCTCTAAAGCACCCCTGACTGATGGTTATTAGGCTATTTATGAATACTTGAAATGACAGGCAGTTTAGTTTATTTTTGAATAGTTATATTAGAAAATTTCTCTTTAAAATCTTTGAACAGGGGCAACCGGGTGGTTCAGTTGTTTAAGTGACTGCCTTTGGCTCAGGTCCTGGGATGGAGCCCTGCTCAGTGGGGAGCCTGCTTCTCCTTCTCCTGCTCCCCCTGCTTATGCTTTCTTTCTCTCTCTCTCTATCAAATAAATAAAATCTTTAAAAAATAAAAAAATCCCTGAACAAAAGAAAAAGATGTTCATCAGGAGAAAATATTTTTAAAAAATTGTGAAGTAAGGTATACATGTTGTTAAAAAGAATAAAATAGTACTAACAGGTTGGAAAAAATAGCTTTCTGCCCTAATTCTGACCTCTCCATCCCCTTGAATGGCAACCACTTTTTCTTTCTAGCACCTACTTTTAACAGATGAACACTTCCAATGTTTAGAAATCCAAAGCCATTCTTCCTAGGACTGTGGCTTTTTTGTGGGGAGGAGAAGTAGGAAAGGATCAGAAGGCTAAGATTTTTCCTTAATTCTCAATGTGTTGAAATTTCAAAATGATGTGCCTTGGTGCCAGTCTGTTTTCCTAATAGGCGGAGCCTTTTTTTTTTTTTTTTAAGATTTTATTTATTTATTTGACAGAGATCACAAGTAGGCAGAGAGGCAGGCAGAGAGAGAGAGGAGGAAGCAGGCTTCCCGCAGAGCAGAGAGCCTGATGTGGGGCTCGATCCCAGGACACTGGGATCATGACCCGAGCCAAAGGCAGAGGCTTTAACCCACTGAGCCACCCAGGCTGAGCCTTTTCAATAAAGGGCTCATTTCTGTGATGGCTTCCTATATAATTTTGATATATATATTTTTTACCTCTCTGTTTGTTGTTTTTCTGAAACTCCCATAGTTAGGTATTAGACCTCCTGAACCATTCTTTTTTTTTTTTTATTTGTCAGAGACAGAGAGAGTGAGCACAAACTGGGGGAATGGCAGGCAGAGGGAGAATCAGGTTCCTGGCTGAGCAAGGAGCCAATGTGGACTCGATCCCAGGACCCTGGGATCATGACCTGAGCCAAAAGCAGATGCTTAACTGACTGAGCCACCCAGGCATCCCCTGAACCATTCTTCTGATTTTCTTTATCTTTTTCCTCCTTAAAATAAAAACAAAATAATTATCTTTTTTTGTAGTACTTTCTGGAAAATCTTAACTTTACTTTTCTAGCCCTTCCACTGAATTTTGTATTCTAATGATTATGTTTCTGATTTCTAAGACCTCTTTCTTATTCTCTGAATGTTTCTTTTCATAGCATTCTGCTATTGCTTCATGGATACACTATCTTCTCATATTCTCTGAGGATAATAATTTTTTAAAAAAAGGTCTTCAGGGTGCCTGGCTGGCTCGGTTAGTAGAACATGTGACTTTACTTCTCTGGTATGTGAGTTTGAGTCCCATGTTGGGCGGAGATTACTTAAGAAAAAAAGAGGGAAAAAAAGGGTTTTCTTTGTTCCTTGCATTATCTGTTTTCTCTGAGTTCCTTTTTCCAGTTTATTCTGATTTTTCATGTTGGAGATGTTCTTCAAATTATTTATTTATTTATTTTAGATTTTATTTATTTATTTGACAGAGAGAGAGAGGGGGATCACGAGTAGGCAGAGAGGCAGGCAGAGAGAGAGGGAGAAGCAGGCTCCCCGCTGAGCAGAGAGCCTGATGCAGGGCTTGATCCCAGGACCGTGAGATCATTACCTGAGCCGAGGGCAGAGGCTTAACTCACTGAGCCACGCAGGTACCCCCCAATACTTTATTTTTAAAAAATATTTTATTTACTTATTTATTTGAGAGAGATGGCGGGGGAGGGGCAGAGGGAGAGGGACAAGCAGACACCATGCTGAGCACAGAGCCAGATGGAGGGCTCAATCTCATGATTCTGAGATCATGACCTTAGCCAAAACCAAGAATCAGATGCCCAACTGACTGAGTGATCCAGAAGCCCCTCAAATACCTTAGGCAGAGTGCTTGTAATCACTATAAACATTAATAGTGGAATATACTATGGTTAGGTATTATGTTAGAGCTGGAACAGATGAAGTCATTTTGTTTGTTTTGTTTTATGGAGTGATATTTGAACTTGGGTTTTGAAAGAAGGTGGCAACATTTGACTGAGAAAGGTCAGTTAGATAACACAGATCTGCACTGTGTTACAAAAGTCACTAGACACATGTGGCTACTTAAAACTAAATGAAATTGAGGGGCGCCTGGGTGGCTCAGTGGGTTAAAGCCTCTGCCTTCGGCTCGGGTCATGATCTCAGGGTCCTGGGATAGAGCACCACATCGGGCTCTCTGCTCAGCAGGGGGCCTGTTTCCTCCTCTCTCTCTGCCTGCCTCTCTGCCTACTTGTGATCTCTGTCTGTCAAATAAATAAATAAATAAATAAATAAATAAATAAATCTTAAAAAAAAAAACAAAAAACTAAATGAAATTGAAAATCAGGTTTCTCACAATTCAAGTGGAATGTGCTGCATGTGGCTAGGGAGTACCACACTGGGCAGTGCCTTACATTTCTACCACACAAGAAGTTCTATTGGTTCTGTAGAGTGTCTTTTGGGTGTTGGTATATGAAGATTTGGCTTCTATTAGCAGGAAGATTTATAAGTTTCCCAGCTTCATCAAATTCTTGAGTATACAATTCAACCACAGTTTAGATATATATTTACCATAACATTCTCTGGATATATCAAGAGCAAAGAACAAAAGCATGCATATATAGTAGTTGTTAAATAAGTAGCTGTTGAATCTAAAATTGTGAGAGTCAAACAACTATCAACACAAAATGACAATTTAATCTTATAGTATAAATCCTAGCATTTATTTATTTATTTATTTATTTATTTAAAAAGATAGATTTATTTATTTATTTATTTATTTAACAGACAGAGATCACAGGTAGGCAGAGAGGCAGGCAGAGAGAGGGAGAGGAGGAAGCAGGCTTCCCACTGAGCAGATAGCCCGATGCGGGGCTCGATCCCAGGACCCTGGGATCATGACCCGAGCCGAAGGCAGAGGCTTTAACCCACTGAGCCACCCAGGTGCCCCATAAATCCTAGCATTTAGATGTTGCTTAGTAAATATCTGTTGACTCAGATTGGATTCAACAGCACCATTTGGGGAATTGATGAAGAATGGACAGAGCATTGCTATGATATTATTTGTTACTGAGCTGGTTTCATGATAAACATTGATCCATTCTGGGCTGAATCCAAGGAGAATTAATTATTGGACTGACAGAGGATGTCTTGTAAGAAACTTATATTAAAGTGAGACTTCAACATATTAACATACCTCTGGTTCTACGTTTGATATCAGATTCGGCTTCATTTCCTTCCTTTCCCTCATCATTAATGGAAATGGCATCCAATTCACGGCAGAGAGAGCTACAAATAATAGAATAAGAGAATTTTTTTTTTAAATTTTTTAACTCTATACTTGATTTCGGGCTCAAACTCATGACCCCAAAATCAAGAGTCACATGCCCTACCAACTGAACCAGCCACGTGCTCCAGAATAAGAGAATTTTATTCTGTTTTTTAAAAGTAGTCTCTATGCCCAGTGTGGAGCCTAATTCAGGGCATAAACTCATGGCCCACAGATCAAGACCTGAGCTGAGATCAAGAGTTGGACGCTTAACCAACTGAGTCACCCAAGCCCCCCAGAATAAGAATTTTAAGATTTTATTTATTTAATAGAGGGAGAGATCACAAGTAGGCAGAGAGGCAGGCAGAGAGAGAGGGGGAAGCAGGCTCCCTGCTGAGCAGAGAGCCCGATGTGGGGCTTGATCCCAGGACCCTGAGATCATGACCTGAGCTGAAGGCAGAGGCTTAACCCACTGAGCCACCCAGGCACCCCCAGAATAAGAATTTTAAAGTTGGTTCTTGGTCAACATTACCCAGTGTATGATAGCACAAGAATCCCACAAAATTTTCTGTGAAAACAGTGTGTGACCAACTAAATTTGGGATATTCTAAAAATCACAATCGCATCTTGCGAGTTTTCCATGCATAAGAGCATAATAAAAACTGGGAAATCTTGCAGTAAATAACATTTTATCTGTTAAAATCGTTATTTCTCAAACTTATTTGAACTTACAATCTTTTTATAAGAGAATAGCAGCTTGTGTTCTGTGGAACTCATTAGGAAATGTTGCTTTACAAAGGCACTGTCATATAGCCTCAGAGCACCTGCCTCTCTGAAAGGGATCTAATTCAACCTACTTCAAATTCAGAGTAAAAATCACAAACAAAAAATGAATGATCAATGATGTGGAACATACCTTATGGTTGGAACAGTAAATGGATCAAACTGTTCCACTTTCTGTACATCAATAGGCACAGAAATACGACCTGTAAGAACCAAAAGTTATAAACTGATGATTGTAAAATACAATCCTATGTGTTATTTTGGCCAAATTTTAATCTAAGGCTTAGAAAAAGGGTTAGACTTACCTTTTTTTTTTTTTTAAGATTTTATTTATTCATTTGACAGAGATCACAAGTAGGCAGAGAGGCAGGCAGAGAGAGTGAGAGGGAAGCAGGCTCCCTGCCGAGCAGAGAGCCCAATGTGGGACTCGATCTCAGGATCCTGAGATCATGACCTGAGCCGAAGGCAGCGGCTTAACCCACTGAGCCACCCAGGCGCCCCTTATCTGTTAAAAACAATAGCTAGAAATTACTTCCACATTAGCTGTTTTTAATTTCTCCTAAAAACAAAAAAAATAGATATGAAAGAATGTTGAGCTATAATCTAGTGTTCTTATTTCCACTTTTATTTCTATCTCCTTCTTCCTAATATCTTTATATGTAAGGACAGAATGATATCAAATTTAGTGAGTCCTGAAAAATGAAATAACATAGATATAGTTCATTTCATTAACTTGGTTTATTTGCTGAGATCAGAACAGACACCTATATGTTGGGCATCTTTAGAAAGCATTTTGGAAATAAAATAGACAGCATTATACTTTCCCTTTCACAATATCCATACCTGGGATACCTCATAAAATTCATTACATCTCAAAAATGAGATAATCAATCTAAAGGATGCCAGGTAAATAACAAGTAAAATAATCAAGAGAATTGGGAGTTGTTTGAAGACAGTGTAAAAAGACTACAGCTACTTATGGGAAAAGAATATAATCAAATGTGTATACTTATGAACATAATTATTTACCCAAACTCTGAGTATTAGAATAAGGGGATACCCACTATAGCTTTAGAATTAGGTTTAAAAAATAATAAGAAATATATAATGCACACTGCATCAAAAACTAATGATGTGGGGCAACTGGGTGGCTCAGTGGGTTAAGCCTCTGTCTTTGGCTCAGGTTATGATCTCAGGGTCCTGGGATCGAGCCCCGAATTGGGCTCTCTGCTCTGCAAGGAGACTGCTTCCCCCTCTCTCTCTGCCTGCCTCTCTGCCTACTTGTGATCTCTCTCTCTGTCAAATAAGTAATAAAATCTTTTTATTTATTTATTTATTTATTTATTTATTTGACAGAGGGATACACAGTGAGAGAGGGAACACAAGCAGGGGGAGTGGGAGACGGAGAAGCAGGCTTCCTGCTGAGCAGGGAGCCCGATGTGGGGCTCGATCCCAGGACCCTGGGATCATGACCCGAGCTGAAGGCAGACGCTTAACGACTCAGCCACCCAGGCGCCCCTAAATAATAAAATCTTAAAAAAAAAAAAAAAACCACAAAAAAAACAACTAATGATGTATTTTATGGTGACAAATAAATTAAATAAATAAATAAACAAACCCAAAACTTTTCAGCTGCTGGCTACCTAAACATAATTTTAAAATAATAATCAAATCAAATTAAAAAAATTAAAAATTAATTAATTCAAAAACTTAAAAAAGAAATATATAATGAGCACTGGGTATGATATGGAACTGATGAATCACTGAACTCTACCTCTGAAACTAGTAAGACAAATTAAAAAAAGAAATACTAAGCTTATTATCAAAAGAAGCTAAAAACACATAGTTGATAGGTTTAGAAAGGGGCTATTCAAATATATGCACTAGAGAATCATCACAGATTATTAAAGGAAACTAGGCAACTTGGGAGAATTGAATGTGTGACAGATCCTTTTCTAAGTACTTTACATCTTATTATTATTTTTTATTTATTTTTTTTAAAGATTTATTCATTTGAGAGAGACAGAGACAGAGAAAGCACAAGCAGGGGGTGAAGCAGAGGAAGACGGAGAAGCAGACTCCCTGCTGAGCCCGGAGCCCGACTTGGGGCTTGATCCCAGGATCTAGAGACCACGACCTGAGCCAAACACAGACACCAAAACATCTGAGCCACCAAGGCGCCCCAGCACTTTACCTTTTAGATCTTCACAATAACCCTGTGAGTTAAGTACTATATCATTTCCATTTACAGATGAGGAAACCAAGACACAGAGAATAATTAGCCTAACATCCCACAGTGAGTGGTAGAGTTAGACGAAAAAGGACAACTACATACAACTGTATATGTCTCCTGGTTGGATGAAGCAAAGTTTATGTCAATATAGCAACCATTATATTTATTTTAAAGTCAGTTTCAGTCCATCAAAACATATCTAAGAGAAATGTGGAGGAGGAAAGCTAAAACTATGGAAAAAGAACTGAGGGAGGAGGCATAGTGGGAAAAGCACAGAACTTTCAAGTTTTAAGAACTGAATTCTGTTCCTAGCTTTGACACAATTTGTTTTAAGACTGTGAACAAGTCACATCAACCTCTTGGACCACGGTTTTCTCATCTCTACAATGAGAACTGTTGTCCTCGGATTTCTAAGTTCCTCTATAGTTCCAACACTAAACCTCAGAAACCCAGAGGAAAATTATTTATGTAGTGGAAACTGATCTGGTAGCTACTAGTCGACAATTAAAAAATAACTTAGTTATCATACGTATTCATACCCAGTGACATGCTTACTCAAACAAAAAATAACTAATTTTTCTTCTAGTTTTCTTTGCTTTCTTTACGTTGTACCTGTTTTAGGATGAACACTAAAGGGGCTCTTCAGTAAATGATTGATTCCTTTGCTAACATTGATGTCCAGCCGCGGGAAACAGTACTGGAGCATGATCTCCCATTCCAGCCAGGGTCCACATTTGTCATTTTTGGTACTATCCTAAAAGCAGATGAAACTCTAGCATGAGGATCAGTAGAAACTTTTGAGGATTTCTTTAAGAGGTTAAAAAATGGCTTTCAGTGATCTTTAACTTACTAAGCAAAAAAATTAGAATTTAACTAAGAATTACATTATATTTATAATAGAGATTTCAATGGAATATACCTGCAAGCTGATGGCTTTCGTCAAATATTCCCAACGCTGAAGTGAATTGTGATACTTTGGGAAGTTTTGCTGAAGTGTCTCATGAATTGGTGATGAGTCATTAAGGAACACAGTCATTTAGAGCCATTGATGAACAATTTATTTTCAGTATGTATTACTCACAAGGATATCAAAAGTTTACTAGAAAGTAATTATTGTTTTCAAAAATGCAAATATTAATTAAATATATTTCCTTAAAAAAGTCCCCTGTAAAAATATATACTGATATGACAGAAAGAATGCCAAAATAACCATATAGTTTTTTTGTTTTTTTTTTAAGATTTTACTTATTTATTTGGGAGAGAGAGAATGAGAGAGAGAGAAAGCACGAGAGTGGGGAGGGTCACAGGGGGAAGCAGACTCCCCTGCTGAGCAGGGAGCCTGAGGTGGGACTTGATCCTGAAACTCCAAGATCATAACCTGAGCCAAAGGCAGTCACTTAACCGAGCCACCCAGGTGTCCCTTCTATATAGTTTAATGTAAAACCTTTCCCTGGTCTGTACATATTTTGACAAAATGATTCAGCATTCTTTAAGTATCCATTAATTCTATGAGGAGCAACTTCCAAAATGAGGAAATTTATTTCCAAAATGGTCTCATTTCTTACTGTATTCCAGACTAGATATACTAAAATGCAGGAAAACAGGAGACGTTTTTGTAAAAAAGATTAAACTTATAAGAGTAAGTATATGAGGGACGCCTGGGTGGCTCAGTGGGTTAAAGCCTCTGCCTTCGGCTCAGGTCATGATCCCAGGGTCCTGGGATCGAGCCCCACATCAGGCTCTCTGCTCAGCAGGGAGCCTGCTTCCTCGTCTCTCTCTGCCTGCCTCTCCACCTACTTGTGATCTCTGTCAAATAAATAAATAAAATCTTAAAAAAAAAAAAGAGTAAGTATATGAGAATATGTAGGCAGAACACATTTATAATATAGATCAATACATCATATAGCTCACATAGAAGTGGCCTTGGGAAAGGATATTTTCAGGAACAAGGGCTAAAATCTTATCCCAGCTTTCTTTATTTTCAAGAATATCTTGATCAACTAAGGCATATTCTTGGAAGAATTTTTTTATTATGTTTATAGATTTGCTGTAGGAACAATAGCACAGTCCCAATACTATTAGCAACACATACGCTGCATAATTTTTCATGCCAAGAAGGGAGGTTAGTGCTTGCTTCTATTGAATCTTTTTTTTTTTTTTAGTGAGCATACATTAGTCTAATAAGACAAACAGAATTAGCTAACAAACAAATTAGCTATGTAAAATGGGAATAATATACCTTCACAGGGTTATGAGAATTAACTAAGACATTCTAAGGGAGAAGAACCTAGTACAGCACCTGGCTTAGAATAGCTATTCAAGAAATGTTTACTTCTTAAATTCCACAACTTACAGATGAATAGCATCATAAATATGTAACAAGGGTAGAAACAGGCCAGGACAACATAATAATACATCAGTAGTAGTGTGGGATAGTCTACAGTTTCTACTCCGAAGTACTTACATTAATGTCTCAACAATTACATAGTGCTTAGCAATTTGCAAACAGACTTCACATCTATCGCTTTATTTAATCTTTGCCACAACTCTGAGATAGATGGAGCAGATGTTGTTTTCCCCATCATACACTTATAAGGAAATAGAGGCTCTAATATTTTATCAGGGTTTTAGAAAGCCACAGAATAGAAACTCTTACTCTTAATGCAATGCTCTTTACATCTAGAGTAGTGAATTTAGTGGAAAGAGTCTGAGTTTTGAAATTAGGCAGACTATGACATGCTTCCTAAATTTAACAATTACTTTTGTGGTACCAAAGAAATTATACTATCTAAGTTCTACTTCAACTATAAATGGAGATACCATCATGTCCCTCATGAAGTTACTATTAAGACCAATAAGAACGTCTGTAAAGCACCTATCATGAATACTGCAGCATAAGACAGTCATTCAATTAACTCTAGCCTTATTATCAGTAAAATGGTACCCCAATAGAGAAATTGGTAACAATGTAATTCTAAAAGCACACGTAGGTATATCAGACACAGTTTAAACCGCATGGACTCTTTCCCAACAGACCTGACAAAAGGGTGAATTTTTTCACTTAGATGGACTTTCTTTTTAACATCTTGACCACCCTGAAAAATAAACCATCAAAAAAGAACTTCATGTATATGACACAAGTGAAATAATTAAAATTTTTTTAATGTATTCTAAATATAGATTAAATTCTGTCAAAATATAGAATTTAATTCTTTTAATTATGTCAATATTAACTGACATAATTGAACCAGAAAGGTCATTTTCCTCTTGCTACAAGGAGGATACTTACAGCAAAATATGAAAGATCTTAAAAAATGTAGCTGCTGTGATTATTTGATCTGCTAGTAAGGTCATCTACTCTGGAATATGGATGCTATAAAAGATAGTTTCATTTTTTTCACTAAACATTTCAGGCTTGGTAACATCTAGCAAACAAAGAAATGTAAAGTATCACTCAGATCTTACCTTTACAAGACTCAAATACTCAACTATCCCAGAACGTACTGCAGAGGACAATTTTCTAACCGATTCATCACAGACCCAACAATGAACACCTCTCCTTCCAGAATATACCCAGAGACGATGCTTAAATCCAAAGTCCTCTGAGGAGGGGAGAAATAATATATTTTAAAATCTATAAATAAATTTATAAACTCCTGGCTCTTGCTTACTTCCTTGGCTTCATTTTTACCTCTTATCCACATGTACTCACCCTAACTATACTAAATTATGTGTAGTTTCCTGTCTCCCATGGTCTTGCCTTCATGTCTATACCTATCCTGTTCTCTCTGCCAAGAATTTCTTCATGCCCTTTTTTTTCCTCTCAAGCTTTTTTTTCCCCAAGATTTTATTTGTTTATTTGTCAGAGAGAGAGCACAAGCAAGGAGTGGCAGAGGGAGAGAGAATCCCAAGCAGGCTCCTCGCCCAGGAGCCCGATGTGGGCCTGTATCCCAGGACCCTGAGGTCATGAGCTGAGCTGAAATCAAGAATTAGAGGCTTAACCAAATGAGCTACCCAGGCATCCCAAGAGTTAGCTATTTTTTTTTTTTAAGGTAGCAGCCTTTTATTTATTTTCTTATTTGAGAGGAGAGAGAGAGAGAGAGCACAAGGCATGGGGAAAGTCAGAGACAGAGGGAGAAGCAGGTTCCCCACTGAGCAGGGAGCCCGATGTGGGGCTCGATCCCAAGACCCCTGGGATAATGACCTGAGCTGAAGGCAGACAATCAACTGACTGAGCCACCCAGGTACCCCTCTTTTTAATATCATTGTCATCCTTATCATCACCTTTTCTAATTTCTTTCTATTCCAGTATGTACTCCTGCTGTTCTCTATCCCCATGGTACCTTGTGTATATTACTAAACTAAATGTAATCCTCAATTTTATTTGTCACTTAGACTGTATAACCTACTTGAGGCAATCATTATCTTTCATATTTCCCTCATCTAGGACAGTTTTTAGCACACAGAGGTGCTCTGGGTAGCATACAGACTGAATTGGATAAAAACTCACTAGTTTGATCAACAGCTTTATTAGCGTTTCAACTACAACTTTATTCTAGTCTCCTTTTATTTTCCAGATATATGTTTCAAGGAAACATGTTAGAAATCTATGAGATTTGATTATAAAATGGTATACATAGACAAATATTCAGAGGAAAACAGATTCTTACATTTGACCCCACTCAGACACTGCCAATACTTGCCCTTCAGTGCTCGGTCGATTATGCGTATGGCCATCGTCATGAGGGTCCAGCACTTAGAACATATGTCTGCAGAACTGGAGTAGAGGCTTCATTACTCACTGTCAGTGATATCATCCACCCTACCAGCAAGGCATGCAGTGCTTACCTACAACATCTCCTCACATCGTCATAGTCTGTCATATCAATGTCAAACACCAGTTCTTTTTCTTGAGCCTGGAAAGCTCCCAGCTTCACTGTATTGTGCTGATTGGGCTACAAGGAGAAAATATCAATCAGTTTCTGTAAGAGCTGTCATGCTGTCAATTATGCTATTTTCTAACCACACAAAGAAAGTGGCCAAAGAGAAATGAAAACAAAACAAAACAAAACAAAAAACCCATAATATAATGCCAACTCTACTCAGTTAAAGTTCACTAGTTTGGATTTTATACATCCAGAATGGATGACAATATAAAGTTCATCTACTTAAAACAGGTTTTGGTAAATACATATTACCATAGATATTTGTTTTTTACCAGTTCTACTGAGATATAATTGATATGTAACATTGAATAATAAATATTTGTTAATTGGGGCGCTCCGGTGGCTCAGCTGGTTAAGCATCTGCCTTCGGTTCAGGTCATGATCCCAGGGTCCTAGGATTCAGCCCCACATTGGGCTTCTTGCTCTGCCTGTTTCCCCCTCTCTCACTACCCCTGCTTGTGTTCCCTCTCACACTGTGTCTCTCTGTCAAATAAAGAAAGAAAATCTTTAAAAAAATTTGTTAATCAATAGAAATCCCAATAAGGCTTTTTTAGGTTTCTCATGAAGAATAGTACATACAAATAATTAATGCCCTATTGCAAGCTGTTTTAAAGACTTTTAGTTATTACTGGACATATAAGTAACAAAAAGGTATTTAAAATTTTTCAATAATTCAAAATATCTCAATTTAGTTTGAACTGAGCCTTTGGCTCAAGCTGTAAGTAGCCTCTTTTTTTTTTTTTTTTTAAAGATTTTATTTATTTATTTATTTGACAGACAGAGATCACAAGTAGGCAGAGAGGCCATCAGAGAGAGAGAGGATGGGAAGCAGGCTCCCCGCTGAGCAGAGAGCCCGATGTGGGGCTCGATCCCAGGACCCTGGGATCATGACCTGAGCTGAAGGCAGAGGCTTTAACCCACTGAGCCACCCAAATGCCCCTGTAAATAGCCTCTTTTGAGGCTATGGGCCACCAGAGGAAAAAAAAGCAGACTGAATACAGATACTTATCTTGCTCTTTCCAAACCTGCACAAAAATGATAGTAAAGGTTTTCTTAAGAAAGGCATAAATCTTTAAAAAAGGACCAGAGTGGGAGAAAAATTAAAAAGTACCAGAGAGGAGAAAATACCACTAAAATTTTTATAAGGATAACCATAAGGGCTGAATTTTAAACTCTCAGTAAGGAAAGATAAGCAATCCAATTTACACCTCAGCATCTCCCAAACTCAGGTGATAATGGGTATCCCTAGAGTGAGAGAGAGAGTGTGTGTGGTAGTGGTGAAGCTAAGATTAAAAATAGGAGAATCAGTTAAAAATCTATTTATGAAGCAGTTAATTCCCCAGATTCTTCCATTTACTCTGCAGAGCTAGGTGACTGCACTTTCATTTCCCTGGCAAAGACACCTGAATTATTATCTGGAGAACCTCAAGTAGTGGGTCTCTCTGGACTGAGGTGGGGGGCAGGAACAATAGGCACAGTTGAAGAAAGTGTATTGTACTGATATATAGCGGATTAAGTGGACAAACATTTACATGTGGAAAGTTGAGACCCAGCCCTCTCCCCAACTTTTATACCCTATTACTGCCATCCTATGCAGGAAACCAGAAGATTCCTCACTGAAGAATCTGATCAGGAGTGCCAGGCACTATTACAGGCTCTAGGAATAGAAGATTTGTGATCAAAACAAAGATCCCTGTGCAAGTGAAGTTTTCATTCAAGCAAAGATCTAGAGAAACTGACATCAGAGCTTCCTCCCCAAAAAATGGCCTAGCCAGATCACCCTGTAATAAAGAAATCTCAGCCATGTATACACAACGTCCAATCAGCTTTTTTAGTGCTTTATTTTTAAATATAAACAACATGCAAGAAATTATCAGACTTATGAGGAAAGCCTCTAATATGAAAGAGGAGAAAAAAACAGGGAAAAACAAAGCGACTTTGAGAAAACAGATTATATAACAGAAAACATAAACTATCACTGATACTCTCAGAAAGATAAGACATATCAATGAAAAAAGTACAGGATACTCTAAAAAAAAATTCTTGTAAATTATAATAGCAGAAATGAAAACCTCTGAGGAAATTCCCCAGAAAGTAGAGCAAAATAAAAATAAGGGAAAAAAAATTAGTGGACCAGTCCAAGACACATAACACCTGACTTTAGGATTTGTAGAGACCAGAGAAAAATTATAGATAGAAAAAATTATATTTAAGGAAAAAAAAGGGGTGCCTGGCTGGTTCAGTCAGTAGAGCATGAGATTCTTGATTTCTGGGTTTTAAGTTCAAGCCCCATGTTGGGGATAGAGATTACTTAAATATAAAAAAAATTTTTTTTTAAACTTCAAAATAAAATCTTAGAAAATAAAAGGAAAATTTTCCAGAATTGAAGGACATGAGTTCATGATCATAAGAGCCCATCAAGTATCTAGCATAATAGATGCAAAAAAGATGGACACCAAGGCACATCATTGTGAAATTTTATTACATTAGGGACAGAGGGGCTAGGTAGAAAATCCTAAGAGCTTTCAGTTCCAACACAGTGAAATAAGAATCAGAATGGCATTAGTCTTCTTCTTTTTTTTTTTTTTTAAGATTTTTTTTTAAAGATTTTATTTATTTTATTTGACAGAGATCACAAGTAGGCAGAGAGGCAGGCAGAGAGATAGAGAGAGGAAGAAGCAGGCTCGCCGCTGAGCAGAGAGCCCGATGTGGGGCTCGATCCCAGGACCCTGGGATCATGACCTGAGCTGAAGGCAGAGGCTTTAACCCACTGAGCCACCCAGGTGGCCCAGCATTAGTCTTCTTAACAGCAACACTGGAAGCTAGCAGATAATGCAAAATTCTAAGGGAAACTGATTTACAAACAACCACTAGTTAAGTACAAAGGTAGAATGAAGTCATTTTCCAGATACAGAAAGTGTCCAATATTTTCTTTTCCATGCACCTTTTCTCAGGGAGCTCCTGGAGGATGTGCTCTATGTAAAGAAAAGTAAACCAAAAAGAGAACAAAGGATTCAGGGAACACAGGATCCAAAATAGGAGGTAAAAGGAAATCAGGGTGCTTACAAGATTATATTTATCCATGAGGCTTAGAGAGAGCAATTAGTCCAGCTTGGAGGTCAGGAAGCTGCAAGTGAAATTTCTTCAGGATGAAACTGACCAGATAAATAAATAAATAAAAAAATTTTTTTGAGATTTTATTTACTTATTTGACAGAGAGAGAGAGAGAGAGAGATCACAAGTAGGCAGAGCAGCAGGCATAGAGAGGGAGGGGGAAACAGGCTCCGGGCTGAGCAGAGAGCCCGATGTAGGGCTCGATCCCAGGACCCTGAGATCATGACCTGAGTCAAAGGCAGAGGCTTAACCCACTGAGCCACCGAGGCACCCCAATAAATAAAATCTTAAAAAAAAAAACACCAAAAAAAAAAATTGGGCACCTGGGTGGTTCAGTCAGTTAAGTGTCTGACTTCTGATTGTGGCTTAGGTCATGATCTCAGGGTTACAGGATTGAGCCTGGCCTTGGGCTCCATGCTCTGCAGTCTGCTTGAGAGTCTTTTCCTCTGCCTCTTGCCCTGCTGGGCGCTTGCTCTCTCTCTAAAATAAATATATAAATCTTGGGGGAAAAAAAAAAGAAAAAGAAATAGTTCCATACAAAAGCTATCATCCCATGAGTGTGTTTCTCCCCCCATGTATTTATTTTTTTGTAAGTTTTTTTTTTTTTTTTCTTTTTAAAAGAGAGCACGAGCAGGGGAGAGGGGCAGAGGGAGAGAGAGAAGCAGACTTCCTACCAAGCACGGAGCCTGACACCAGGCCTGATCTCAGGACCCTGGGACCATGACCCACGCTGAAGGAAGAAGGCAGATGCTTAATTGACTAGCCACCCAGGTGCCCCTCCCCATGTGTGTATTTTTAAGGAAAGAAAGGCAATTTTGGTATGTTCATTCATTCAACAAATATGATATACTCTCTCGGGCAGGCACTAATCTAGACATTTAGACTGTATCAGTGGCAATGGGTAGGAGGAGTGGCAGGTTGCAGAAGGCCTCAAAGTTAAGACTTGAGGAGGTGAGGGAAGGAACCAAGGAGATATCTAGGGAAATGGGTTCTGGGCAGTGGAAACTGCTTGAGCAGGGGCAGTGTGGCAGGAGTGGAATGAGTGAGGGGGAGAGAGGGGCTTTTACTCTGAGCAAAATGGGGAGCCACTAGAGAATGGTTTTGAGCAGAGGAATCACAGAATCTAACTTGTTTTAAAAGGATTGCTCTGGCAACTGTTTTGAGAATAGACTCTAGAGTCTATAGGAGCAAATTGTTAGGAAGTTTTTACAGTAATTCAGATGAAAGATGATAAGGATGGTAGTAGTACTGGTACCAGTGGTTGGATTTCAGATAATATTCTGGTAGAGCTGAAGAGATTTCCTAATGGAATAGATATAGGAGTGTGAGAGAAATAGAGGAATCAAGCATATCTCCAAGGGGTCCTGGTCTGGCTCAGTCCGTAGAGCATGTGACTCTAAATATTGGGGTCACATTGGATATAGAGATTACTTAAAAACAAATAAACAAACAAAACACCTCCAATGCTGGAAGACAATGTAATTCTTTTAAAATATCCTCCTTTAAACCATGCTGACTTCCTCGTTTACTCTTTTGGCCAGATACTCAATTTTTCTGTCCTAGTGAGAATACAACCAATTCACTTCCAAATGATTTCCAGCCAGTAATGTGGAGTATGAAAGAACAAAATATTACAATCTACTTGCAAAAAAGTTAAAGTGGGACTCAACTAGAATCAATTCTAAAAATTTAACCTCAAAACAATGAGAACACCAATCCATTCTTGGTTTAAAAAACAAAACTACAAAATACATTAAAAAACCGATTTCTTACTCTGTGGGAATATACCGCGCCTATATCAATCTTGTATGGATTCATTTTCTGCATCTCCTTTTCCAGCTCACTCTGGTTGTTGAAGGATTGGTAGCGAATGTAAATATCATCTTTCAATGTGAATGAAAATTCACGGTGTTGAAAGTAATTCTTTATTACTGCAAAATAAATATACCATTTTAAAGTTAATTTGGCACTTGATTCGGCTCAGGGCATTAAAACATTAACCAATGATAAGATATTTTTAATGAGCCCTCTGTGCTCAACGCTGTGCTACATGTTTAAAAAAAAAAACCCGAAAACAAACTAGTTCCTACTCTGAAGGTGCATACCATCCTGCATCTAATAGGAAAAAGTAAAAATGAGGAAAAAGATGCAGACATATTCTAAAGCTGTCTCTCCTCGGCGAGCACTACTAAGTTCAGCTGCGAAGAGTTCAGTACCTCTCATCTTCCGGGAGATGCCCCGCTGTCCCCGATACAGAACACGCCTCTGCAGCTTCCGGCTACGACCCAGTAATCTCCTGGGCTCAGGCGCCGCGGCAGGTAAACGAGGAGCTGAATGGGGAGTCCCACCACGTAATGGTAGGAGCAGCGGCTCTTTCTTCCTCTGTGTGCCTGCTTACCGTAACCTCTCTCGGCCCCTTTACCTCTCTGAGGTGGTGGGGAGGGCTCGAGATAATACGCGAAGGCGCTGGCACAACGCCTGGCGCACAGGAGGTATTTCATATTGTCGTTCCGAGGAACGCTCCCAGCACCTCCTCACCCTCCCCACCGAACCACTACCCGCTCCGCTCCCGGCTTCCATCACCTCCGCCATAGTTGAGCCAACGGTAGTACTGGGCGTAGGGAAAAAGCCTCCGGTAATAAAGCTTAAGCAGTTCGGGCAGCTCGGCAGAGTCAAACGTCTCCATGGATGGCGCGACTCACTGTCTGTCGTAGTACCGCAAAAATTGGCGGGAATCACACAGCAGGATCCCCGGACACTGCGCAAGCGCGCTGTGGCCGCAACCGGACGTCTCCACGGGCCGCTGGGAATTGTAGTTCCCACTTAGGGGTTGGCCTGGGCGCTGCTTGGTCTCGGCCTATCAGCGTTCTCACTAGGTCCTCTGCTCTGGTGGGTAGAAGAAAGCCACTCCTGTTTCAGGAAGGAAGGTGTCGTACAGAAAGGTGAGCCCTTAAGCGTGTTGACTTAGGTTAAGATGACGTAAAAAATGATGTTCCCCGTTAACTTTATGAATGTTTTGGAAACGCATTTAAACAATGTAAGCCATTAAAAAAAGATCTTATTTCAGAGAGATTGAGAGCGCGAGCACAAGCATGTAGAGCTGCAGGCGGAGGGAAAGGGAGAGGGAGAAGCAGGCTCCACGCTGGGCAAGGAGCCTGATGCTGTGCTCTATCCTAGGACGCTGGGATCATGACCCAAGCCCGAGGCACTTAACAGAGTGAGCCACCCAAGCGCCAGTGTCTTTTTAAGAGGGTCTGAAAATTAATTCTTTTTTTTTTTTTTAAGATTTTTTTTTTTTTTTTATTTGACAGAGATCACAAGTAGACGGAGAGGCAGGCAGAGAGAGAGAGAGAGAGAGAGAGGGAAGCAGGTTCCCTGCTGAGCAGAGAACCCGATGCGGGACTCGATCCCAGGACCCTGAGATCATGACCTGAGCCGGAGGCAGCGGCTTAACCCACTGAGCCACCCAGGCGCCCCTGAAAATTAATTCTTCATAGAACTACTAGGTCCACTATGTGGAAATGAAGACCAACCAAATAAGGTAAAAGGCTTTTTATTCAGAGCTTGCTATATAGCAAGGGGGTCAGCTGCAGACACTTGGGTTCTGGCAGAGAGTCAAAGGCAGGCAGAGGAATCGGGAAGCTTTATATACTGGGTGAAGAGGAGGTTTCAGGTGTACCTAGATTCAAGGCTGTTTACATGGGAAAGCTGTAGCTGGGCTAACTGGTGTAGGGGCATTCTGTGTGATTGGTTAGGAGCGCTAATTTGGCTTTCTCTGATTGGTCCTAAATTGGAAGTAACCACAAAATCTAGGGAAGCTGATATTTATTAATCAAGTCCTGGCCATTTGGGGTTATGGTCTGGCTTCTTGAAGTATCACTAGAGACAACGGTCTGACTTTTGCAAGTCTGACCTATAGTAGGCTGGCTTCCTGAGCTGTTTATTATGGTTAAGGGGATTGGTTTCCTGCGTTGGCTTCTTCAGGTTGTAGGTTGGAGTTCTGTTTTGTTTTTGTTTGTAAGTAAACTCTACACCCAACATTGGGCTGAACTCACAACCCTGAGTTGCATGCTCTGTGAGCTGAGCCTGCCAGCAGCCCTCAGAGTTCTGTTTTTATATATGGTCTGGCCACGGTTTGTATATTCAGGCTCTCAAATAGAACACCCAGGAATGCTAAAATCTGAATTATAGGAATCTTGCAGAATCACGGAGAGATTTACGAGTATAAAAGGAGGCTGTTTGTTGCTAATGTGCAGATCTGCCCATCACTCTAACCTGGTAAAGATAAACCTCATTGCAAATGTGGACTGGGGTGGACAGTCTATAATCACAAAGATATCATGTCACTCGAAAACCATCATTTTCATGAATTTTATGTTTGCAGTAACAGTAAGAGAGCAGGGAGAGAACAGAGTCTTTAGGAAGTTATTATTAGCTTAATCTCAAAAACGATCAGGGTCTCTCAGCTCCTCTGGGTGAACTGCTCAAAATTGGGCTCTGGGCAGATCATGCTTAATTGAATATTCCTTGAAATCTGGTTTCCTGCACAGGTCTTAGTTGATTTTCACAATCCATAGGCATCTTGTGTTGGGTAACATGAATTTCATAACTGGGAATGTCTTCACTCTAATAATGATGACAAGAGTGCCCTGGAGAGTGCTCTTTTGCAGAACCATATCCCTCTGGACTGTTTAATGGAGGTTTCTCAGTTTTCTCATTGCTGCCTTTAGGAACTGCCTTTTTTTTTTTTTTTAAGATTTTATTTATTTCAGACAGAGAGAGAGAGCATGAGCGTGGGTGGGGAGGGGCAGAAGGAGAGGGAGAAGCAGGCTTCCTGATGAGCAGGGAGTCCAACATGGGGCTTGATTCCAGGACTGTGGGATCATGACCTGAGCTGATGAAGTCAGATGCTCAACTGACTGAGGCACCCAGATGCCCCAGAACTGACTTCTTTGGGATATTTGGGAATCCATTTTGAATTTCAGGACCACTAAGGAGGGCAGCTCCTGAAGGAGCGAAGATGAAAGGGGAGAAAGCAAAGGAAGTTATATTTTTTGAGTTCCTACTGTATGCTCGATTTATTTAACATTAGTTTTTTCATCAGGAAAAAGGGAATAATAATAGCTAATGTTTATATAGCATTTGCTGTGCTGTCAGGTACCCTTTTGAGAATTTATTCTTCCACCTTCTGCCTGTCAGAATGGCTAAAATAAAAACAAAACAAAACAAAACAAGAAATAACAGGTATTGGCGAGGATGTAGAGAAAAAAGAACCCTCATGGAGGGAAATGTAAATTGGTGCAGCCACTGTGGAAAATAGTATGGAGTTTCCTCAAAAAATTAAAAATAGAAATATCATATGATTCAGTAATTCCACTACTGGCTGTTTACCCAAAGAAGATGAAAGCACTGGGGTGCCTGGGTGACTCAGTTGGTTAGGTATCTGCCTTTGGCTTGGGTCATGATCTCAGGGTCCTGGGATCAAGCCCCATATCGGGCACCCTGCTCAGTGGGGCGTCTGCTTTTCCCTCTCCTTATGTGCTCTCTCCCTCTGTGTTCTCTCTCTCTCAAATAAATAAAATCTTTATAAAAATTTAAAAAAAAGAAAATGGAAGCACTAATTAAAAAAGATATGTGCACCCTTATGTTTATTGTAGCATTATTTACAGTAGCAAAGATATGTAGGCAACCCAAATATCCACCAATCGATGAATGAGCAAAGATGTGATGTATAAATATATATATATTTATATATGTATATATAAATAAAAACAAAAACACACAATGGGATATTACTCAGCCATAAAAGAGAATGAGATCTTGCCATTTGCAACAACATGAATGGACCTAGAGAGTATTATGCTAAGTGAAATAAGTGAGACAGAGAAAAACAGATAGATACCTTATGATTTCACTCATATGTGGAATCTAAGAAACAAAACAAAGACAAACAAAAAACCCAGACTCTTTTTTTTTTTTAAGTTTTTTTTTTTTTTTTAAGATTTTTATTTATTTGTCAGAGAGAGTGAGCACAGGCAGACAGAGTGGCAGGCAGAGGCAGAGGGAGAAGCAGGCTCCCTGCTGAGCAAGGAGCCCGATGTGGGACTCGATCCCAGGACGCTGGGATCATGACCTGAGCCGAAGGCAGTCGCTTAACCAACTGAGCCACCCAGGCGTCCCAAAAAACCCAGACTCTTAAATACAGAGAACAAAATGGTGGTTGTTGGAGGTGACATGAAATGTAAATGAAAAGTAAATGAAAAAAAAAAAGTAAATGAAAAGTACAGCATAGGGAATATACTCAATAAGATTGTACTAACACTGATGACAGATGGTGACAAGACTTACCATGGTAAACACTGAGTAATGTATAGAATTGTTAAAAAAAAAAGAATTTTTTGGGATACATGAGTGGCTCAGTCCATTGAGTGTCTGACTGTTGATCTCAGCTCGGGTCTTGATCTCAGGGTCGTGAGTTCAGGCCCCATGTTGGGCTCTGTGGTAGGCGTGGAGCCTACTTAAAAAAAATTTATCCCTCATAAGAACCCTATATGGTAGATACTAATATTATCCTATTTTATAGATGGGGAAATATGTGGAGAATTTAAATACTTTGTCCAAGGTCACACCAGCTAGTGACTCTCTACAGTTAACCTCTAAGCTACATGCTGTGTCTCTCCAAGCGGTTGTCATGAGAATTAAATGAGGTAAAGTGAGAGGTCCCTAGCACAGTTCACAGGCCACAAGCACACCGTGGCAGTAAGCTATAGAATTCTGTACAAATGCTCTGGTATGGAGGCTGTTATCCTACGTGCCACTGGGAGGCAGTATTGCCATTCAGCTTTCATCCACGTGGGCGCAAAACCCTTTTGTCCCTCAAGCCTTATACTATATGCCATCCTCTTTACATTTCCTATATATATCTACTGTCATCCTCTTTGGGTAATCCATCAGTCCTAGGTCTCCCCAAGGTTTTTGCAGACTTGGATACTTACCTCATGGACTTCCCTTCCAGTTCAACTCCTATTGTTATTCTGGATGTTTTTAGGATGTAAAAGATGATCCATATGATAGATCCACAGATAGTTAATGAACATTTATGTTGGGCACTTAGCTAGGTTCTGGGGAGGAAAAAAAATAATGACATGGTTTCTGTTTCTGAGAAAGTTATAACCTAGTAGGGGCAATGGACACAAATCAAAAAGTGAAAAAAAAGTGTTATAGATGCATTTATAACCAGCTGTTATTTGGCATCATCATTTTCCTTAAGACTTGGGTAAGATTGGTACAGGAAGCAGAGCCACAAAATAGTAAATGGCATGGCACTTTCCGGAAATAGCCAATAGTTCCAAATGGACAGAGCTTGGACTTGAAGGGAAGGCCTGGGAAAGATGGGGCTAAGGGGCAAGCCATGGCCAGAGCATTGCATGCCAAGCTAAGGAGTGTGGAAATAAAAATTATTCATCTTCCATTTTATTCCGCTTTGGTTAAAATTAAGATAAAATATTGATCATATCAGTATTTGATGAGACGTCTTGGGAGTAAATAATCTTGTTGAAACAAGTAAGTAGGAAATTTGAAATACTTCTGTGCTAGTTGTTTTTCCTCTTTTTTAAAAAGATTTTTATTTATTTGTTAGACAGAGATCACAAGCAGGCGGAGAGGCAGACAGAGAGAGAGGGAGGGGGAAGCAGGCTCCCTGCCTAGCAGAGAGCGCGTGCGCGAGGTGGTGGGGGGGGCTTGATCCCAGGACCCTGGGATCATGACCTGAGCTGAAGGCAGAGGCTTTAACCCACTGAGCCACCCAGGCGCCCTGTTTTCCTTTTTAATAAGGTAAGAAAGAGAAGATTATAGAATGTGTTCTGATGAATCGAGAAGCATCACAAGGATGCTTCTTCTAGCCACAAAGCAAATGATGGCCACAAAGCCAATAAAACAAGTG